CTTTTCATCTGTTAAAAATTATCGTCCGCTCAAATGACTTAATAAGTGGCTAGAAGAAAAAACAGAACTTCACCAGTCGCTGAATTGGATAACGTCTTCCAAGTTTTTTTTTCAACTGGTCATGCATACTACGTATATTTTTTTGTGTTAGGTGTTCTAGACAGCAAGCGCCGCTTGTTCAGTTCCTGTTAATAAATGGCACAAAATTTATGTCAGTAAAAAACATGATTTTTTGGGCCTCGATTGCAAATCTAGGTCAATCATTGTCAATCGTTCTTCTTTGGCGTTTTAGTCTTCCGGCACGAAACCCATAATCGTTTCGTCTCTTGACCGCTTCGCATGAACTTTTCTCAGCTACCTGATGTCAAATAACCTTGACGTCATCCAGTACGCGCAAATCTCGTTTCTACCATCACAGACACTTTCGCGCTTTCCCAACGAGCACAAGGTCACCTGTCGCTCGTTACTTATACCGTCCATTAGCGACAAAAGATACATAGTGGTTTGACGCTCTTGTCATCATGGGAAGGCGCGGCAATCAGCGGCGACGCAACAGATTTGTACAATGAGAATTCATACATACTTATGCTACACATACCCCATTTGAAAATTTCCCTTAGCGCGCCAGAGTATCAAAATTCGTGTGTCTTGCCTTCTTTTGGCCTTTTTGCCTTAGATAGTCGGCTGTGCTGTTCTGTATGTTCGACTGTTGTTGAACATACGTTAAATGAAACTAGGTCAGTGAGAAGATTGGACGCAGGCCTGCACGAATTGGAGCAAAAGCTGCGAGCAAATGCCCCGGGATTGATTGATTGATCTAAAGCGGTAAAGGTTAACACAAGATAATAAGTCATAGCTGGTTCTCCACTCAAATAACTGGCGGAAAGCGAAAGCCGAAATGAAGTAAGCCTTGGACCCTGCTTAAACGTTGCAATAATCTTCAAGTAGGCGAATGATGAGGTCTACCTCATGAAGCTCTAGCAAATGTTAGAACGACTTATTAAAGACGAGTGACGCTTGAACGTTTCAGGTGAAAAAGTTTAAGACCACTCCGATGTGTGAGGTAAGCTTGAGGACATCTAATGCAGTGCTCTCTGATATATTTTCATCCGTTAACGATGCCCGATACTTACGCGACCATCGAGAGACACCGTGCGTATCATTTAACACTATAAATATAACTTTCTAACTAGAACTAAAACGTTTAGTTCGATGATGCACTTGTTCGATAGTTACTTGTCGATAGATGCATACCATATATTGAAGCATATATTATTAGGGAACCAAAAGAGAAATAGAATGCAGGGCGCTTTGGTATGTACCTATCCGGCATAGCAGACGATATGAATGACGATATGAACGTCCTTAATTCACTGGCAACTCAATTACCGATCACTTCAGCCGGTCTGTAGCTAGAACGAACGATGCAATTTACCGGCTATAATTAATGTGATGAAATGCGAATTATGGTGAGATCAGCTATTATAACATACACTTTGTTTTGCAAGGAAAACGTTTTCGATGTTGCATCCTGTAAAGAACAATGATTTATATTGGTATGGCAGGGTTTGTGTATAAGAAAAACAACTTCCTATTATTTTTACAAACACCCGTAAGGCGTGCCCATGTGAGATGCATGCTTACGGACCTTATCCTGCCAAATAATAGAAATAGCAGCACATTCAGTATGTGTGTATCAGGCTAAATAGGTTTTCCCTATGGGGATAACTCGTTTGAACGATTCAACGAAAGAAGTTCGGTCGTGTAAAGCTTATAAATAAATGTTCCAGATGTTACATCCGCCCTTGCCGCTGCTTCGGACAGCTGGTTCCCTTCTGCGAGTACAAATCCGTTCCCGGTTTAAGACTAGACCACCTCGCAAGTCCTTAAGCTTACAGAGTCAAAGCAACAATTAGAACGATGGATCTTTACCATACGTAAATCAATCTAATTCCTAATTTGAAGTCTAATTGTAATCCTACTCATTACTGGAAATAGTATTGCATGTGCAACCCTACCTCAGCACTAACAGATATTCCAAATGTTCGGGAGACGTAATCGAATACCGTGTAGCTATAAACATAAAGCTTAATTTCATAACCCATAATGATTTACACAATATGCGGAACTATTCTTATACGCGTATCATATATTGAGAAAATAGGGCAACAAAACTAAGAAGGTACGTCTGTACAAAGTTACTGACGAACAGCGATAAGCTCAATCGTTTGTGTAAAGCGTGAAAACGTTCGCTGTGACAGCTCTGTCAGCGATGATTCCGCCAATCTTTTGGATTCAATGAATTTCGGCATAAACGCCAGAGGTCATAGGTTCTTCATGAAGCGGATCTATAGCGGAAGGTACAATCTAGACGAGACGATCAATTCTGGCCTCTGCCCACCCTTTCTTAGACGTCCTTTTTCTCACTCTAGAGCAGTGCTGATCAAGGCAATGAACTTCGGGCCACTTTGGAGCGTAGCTGTTTCCTTAAGTGTTCCTAACCATCAACCTGCTCTTGGAGTTTTCACATTCTCAGACCAAATCAGTGGCCGTTGTAGATGCTGGAAGAAGTACAATTGCTGATGATGTTATCGTTGGATTGAAATAAAGCTAGCATTGGATGCTCGATTGTCACTTGTATCGGTTTTCGACGTTGTTTGGGGGCACAGCATACGCTTAGGCAAAAAGAAGAACCGAGAACCATAGTTATAAATTGCGGTACCGCTTATTTCGATTGGGTGCTTTCTTTAAGCTAAAGTAGGAGCATACAAAATTGACTGCGTTCCGATGACTTATGCATCCTTGCTAACGGAGTCAATATTTTCCAATAAAAGAATCACCTAAGTAAACAGAGCGTTTCTCGTAATGGTTTTATCCAGTTTAGCAGAACGTCATCGAGGTTTCTTGTGGAAAACATTGTAAGTAAACTGTAAGTAAAATTACTTAGCAGTGGTAGTAGAAGAAGTCGTTACCACTTGAGTGATAATACGTCCTGATGATTTCAATTGTTAACTGACTTCTGTGCGACAAGCAAGGATTAGACCTTCAGGAACGGTATACGTACGTTTATATATCATATACATTTATATCATTCGAACAAAAGTGAAGCTAGCCATATAAATATTCGTGAACAATTTGAGCAGATTGAATAAGACTATACATCCAAAGAATAAACAAAACTCCAACTGCATTTGTTGGTTTCGATTGTAAATGGTGTCTAACAAAATTTCTAGTATGTTGAGTCGAGAGAATATCCGTTAAGGTACAGAAATGGCGGTATCGCAAGCGCAGTGTCATCAAAAAGAACGTAAATGTACGAAATTCGCCTAGGTTATTCTTGTCTTGGGTATTACGTAAAACAGGAAAAATGTTTAATGATGATTTGATGGAACACGTGAGAACGATGTCCATAGTTCTAGTGACTGAGCAAAACTCAGAACCAAAAAATAATCCGATACACAGTGAAAAGCGGCGTCCGAACAGTGACTAAGGAATGTTTTGTTGTAGCAACGGGCACCCGATACAATAAACTGGGATTATCAAGTCTGCGTCAATCAAGAAAGTCGCAATACCCGAAAAACGATTCAAGTCAGGCAGATCTGCACTTCAACTGGGCTTGCTAACCCACGAGAATATGGTCAGGCTAAGGGTTAACCATATGTTGAGACGTTTCATGGTGATTTGCAGTGTTGAGTATATCGATATTCGGTTCAAACGCAGCTTGGGCTTTGCTATTGCTGTGGTTAATCGGTCTGTGTACATTTCGAGCTCAGTATAGTCAACTGGTTTGTAGCAGGCTCCAGGTCTACTAGCAGATGTAGTGTTAGTATTTTTTTTTTTGGCACGCTATATACATGTCAGTATCAGAGACATTCTCTTCATGTCCTATCCACCTTCAAAGCATTAGGAATGGCGGAATTAACTCCAGCAGCCTAAACTGATTTGATATGGAAACGAAACGCTTTTGCCCCCGGCCGTTTCGTAACAAAAATCTTGAGCTGGGAGGCAGATTGTAGCGGAGCAGTCACCCAGCGGATTGGCAATGATATGATAAGTTATAATGGAAAGAAGTACACCGGCTAATAGATTTTGCTTTTCCTTAAACACTTTGTGCCGGGGATAAGGCGAAGATTTTACGGAAGTGTCCAAGTTTGGATGCAAACACTCTTTGTAGGTGGAAAGCGCTAGACAGAATAACAGCTTGAAAGTCGTTTGTGCAACGGATAATGAATACAGAAAATGAGGAGAAATTCGAAATTTATGAATGTGGGCACTGAAATTTGCTCCTAGATATTTTTCAGCATGTTTCTCTCTAGGAAAAGCAATGTTTCAGGGCTATTCATGAGAGTCTGCCTTCTGCTATAATCCACAAATACACAGTTTCTAGGTTGATTAGTTTGCGTTCGCTTTGGTAGAAACATTATTTTTGTATATTTTATATTGAATTGAATTGGAGATATTGAGTACTATTCGATGTATCAAAATGCGGGTATCTGTTGCCTTCGACGGTTGCCTTCAACGCAGTAACCCGAGGAACACTGTAGCAGTTAAGTTCATTTATCCATTGAATTATCGTTATACGAATATGCAAGTAACGTCAGGACCTACACGTAATTTTTAACGGTTATATCACGTGTTAGCTGCAAAGCTTTTTGATTCGTAGGTTAGAAGATCGCCAATAAAGTGCAATAGAATGATGCCGTTACTAGTTTCGTTTTTAAACCATTGGTAGATTACAAGCGTTGCAGCAGTTCTGTAAGATTCCCATCGGTGTACTGAAATTCGCTAGAATTCTTCGAAAATATATATTTGAATATTCAATAGAAGACTTTCAAGCACCTTCATGAACCTTCGTCTGCATGCACACACAATTCACGACTTCGAGTAGCAGATGAATATTTTACACTAACCATTTCAAGAAAGTCTGCTCTAAAGTGGAAAAACCTTGGGAAGTTTTTTTTATATAACTTACAAATTTACAAAAACAAATATTCTTACCCTCCAGTCTGATTAGTCATGTGTTTTTATTTTGGATTTTTTTGTGATTTGTCTTCAACTATTGTACTTTAAGACAGGTGTTTATAAAATGGCTCATAAAGATAAGATCACTCGTTATCACAACACAACATTTTTGAAGACCCTACCTCTCCAGATTCTACTTTCGATTACCATATTAAAAAAAGGAATAATAGTAATAACAACCATTTACATCCTTAGACCTTCAAAGCGTTCTATATTTTTCTTAGCGTGGTCTGATGCCCAAAGTGCGACGCCTCCTCTTTCGTTGTGGGGAGGCCGCTTTCTCTTCGGCTTTTTCCGTTTCATTATCGATCCTCAAAGGTTTCCGAGTCCTTGTCGATCTGTTTTCTGCAATTAAAGCGTGACTTTAATACATGGTATATAATAGAAAGCTTGCGATTTTGCCAACACAATTATCTCCTTAGTTCTTCTAAAATCCAATTGCACCCACAAATCAGCAACACTTTTCTGCGAAAATGATAGAAGCTGTCTCGGCTACATTCCCGCGTCCTTTCAAATCTTTATGCTGGATAGTTCGTTTAAACGGCTCCTGCATTGATGTGCGTATGTATGGACTATTTAAATCAAAATCATAATTTGTTTAAATTGATGGCCCCCCGATCTTTGGAAAAGACTTGCTTGACATAACAGTTACTGCCGTAAGTGTGATGGAAAGCGCTCTTAATTTAATTACTATCGGTAATTTACCGTCGTTCGTTGCAGTTCTTGAAGTTAATGAGTCGCTAGCCGGCGTGGACAAGGTTGATTTGCCCCTGCAAGTTTTTTTCAATGGTGAAAGATCATTTTCCGTTGTGTGGCCGCTGCGTTTACTGGCACTTGTAGGTGTGTTAATTACCGCTGGCGATACTTCTGCAAAATTGTCACGGCTTTGAATGAAATTGATAGTTCACTGTTGCTATATAGCTATGTCGCATCAATCCTACAAGATTTGGCTTGGAGGAAGTAAATTTCCTACCGGGGCAATCGAATCAGCGTCCTCCAAGCTTAGCTGGCAAAAGGTGCTAGGCTTAAGTAGACGAACTCATCTAAATTAGCGGGTAGAACGTTAGAATTTCGCACTTAGTATATACGACATGTTTTTAATGCGGGATATTAAATCCTTGAGTACTATAATTTTGAGGAGGGCTCCACGCAGGATTAGTAACTGGGTTTAGATTTTGATCAACAGAAACAAAGCTCGATGCCAGCCCTAGATATGCTAAAAAATTGCTTGCAAAGCAAAATTGTCTGCTGTAGAGTAGCTATTTCCAGATGCCTGTCACGTACTTGCCCTACCTGAGATCCTGGTGCTGGACATTACAACTGAGCTCTCCGATCGACTGCTGTTTGGTTTCTCGGTCTCGTCATCTGTAAAGATAAATTCACATATTTAAGTGATAATAATCACGAATTTCGACAGCAAAGTATTACGAGTTATGCATAAATTTAGGGATAATATTAGATGATTTCTCATATCAGCTTTATACAACAATTCTCTTTAGGCATACCCACCCGGAGGGAATATACTTTCGGGTAAATCGTGATCCTCTATTTCCAGTTCTTCCTCCTGTTTAGAAATCTGATTTCTTCGATTTGTCCTGGGGGCCCTCGCCGGCTTTGTTACTTTTTGCAATTCCTCCTCTGTGCGTGGCTTCTTTGGAGGCCGACCTTTTGGAGGATCCATTTGCTCTTCACCGCTGCCGCCTAAGTTCTTACGCTTGAAGTTCTGCTCTAACACATTTTTCCGGCCCCTCTGATCTATAGCATCCGTAAGCTTTTGCGCCGAGCCTTTCGCTTTAATGCTGAGGCCTGTTGTCGTAGATGGCACCGTCTGGGAGTTGGGAATTTCCTCATCGCTAAACTCGTCTTGTTGTCGTCGAACCTCTGCCACCCTAATCCTATTACGTAAATAACGCATGGCAACCAGCGGCAGAGAAAGCAGCATAGTTTTAGCTGTATTGTCACTGTGTTACTAAATATTTACATATATCCAGGCAAACAATTGTGGATACCAATTAATTTAACTATTTTCTGTGGGTAGGTTAAACAGCAGTTGGTATTGGCCCTGCGAAACGTCGTTCGAAGCAAACAATTATCGCTGAGCCCACAGTTGCGTTCTTTTTTTTGGCGTTCACCTAAGCATATTGAAAAGAAAACAAACGAAATCCATAAACGACCCGATGGTCAAATTCACACACCTGTGAATGTATCCGTTTATAAAGGAGCAATTATAGGTAAATTCCATTTAAAGCGGAATAAAATCCCAGTTAAAGCGTGAATCTTAACCTGAGTATCTAGTTCCATACTAACTTGAAGTCGCGGGCACTTGCTGGTGTGGTAATGTCGCCAAGGTCAATTTTTTTTGCGAGTTTATTCAGCTCAAGGTGATGCTGTTCCGTGGCAAACACAAATCCAGGGACGGCTTTGGGCTGCTGGTTTTTCTTCTTCTTGCCCAGATTGCGTCGTGTGGACTCTTCCTGTGAGACAATAAGAGAATAAACGTGGTTCGCTTATTATGTTTACGTTATCACGCTTTCGTGTGCGTGCATCAATACTATCGGATCATGTAGGTTTTGAGAATGATCGATAACTGCTTGTAATTTCAGACTCATATTTTGGTGAAAAAGAAACACACACACACACACCTTTATCTTAATTTGGCTGGGCTTGTCGTGTAATACATGTCATCGAAAGAATTCGAGGCAACGACATCCAGCTTCCTCAGCCTAATATTCAACCATCCAAGCTACCACATTCATCCACATGCATTTGATTTCCATTAGTATAGAAACTTCGTCATTCGTATAGATCCAATCTTCACCATCAATGCATCTCAATACATATATATTTGACTAATATAGGTACAATGGCTCATCCGTTCACTAACTCTACTTGCAAATTTCATCACAATTTGATTACAGTAGTCGTTTATTTACAAATATACTGTTCGTTTTAATCCGTGCTGCTGTGCTACTCAGATAAACCTATGAGAAGTCACATAGTAGTTAAACATTAGTATGAGTAGGTTTTGGGTCTCTGCCCGGCCCTCTGCTTGGAATGCCTTATGGACTGTTTTAAACAGAATTACGAAAACAGTGAGGGAATATGGCACAGAGCGATACAAATTACTAGGCAGACCTGTGTCATGGTTAGTTTCAAATATTCAAAATTCAGAATAGGGTGTAGAATGTATTGGGTGACCTGTGTATTGTTTGATCGTGCCACAAGCATATACTCGGTATAACCGTTAGTTTAAATTATATATATATATATATATATATATATATATTGTGAATAACGTAGATACCTCGACAGCCATTATGAACGTTTCGAATCGTGGCGTGCACGTCTTCTGAACAAAATGCACAAGTTTAGGGTAGCGCGGTGACACTTCTTCGCGATCCCCACAGTAGTATTTCGACAGGCTAGCCAGCACCTTGGGATTCAATTGAATTGATGAGCCTATGTTAGCTGATCAGGTTTGCAGGTTGCCAACAATTACAACTCGAATGCGCTTCTATCCAATGACACGAATAATTCATTATAATAGTCCTCATCAGCGACATCATCATTACCATCAATTTTTTGTTGCTCATATAATAGCACCGTTGCTCGGAGTCATATGTACACAGATCTTGCAAACTGCAAAACTAGTCATTGAATCTTCTTTTATTCAGCTTACGATCCCTTCAAAGCAAATCGTCTTTAGACGCAGCTTCTAACGGCACTTACACAGATTTCCACACAGATTTCCCCCACCCCTGTAAATTTTTTGTAACATCGTCATCTCGCGTCATGACAACCAGTGTTATACATCACTAGGTTCTGTGAAACTATGGTATCATTCTAGTTCGGACCAAAATGATCAAACTACAAGTGTGAAAGCAGGACCTTATCTACATACTATACTTACAAGTGGAAAAGAAAACCAGCTAAAATTTAATGTCGAATTATGTAAGCAATACCTTGTAGGCCCTGGCGCCACTCTGGAAGAGGCCTTCGGCCTGTTCAAGGGGTACCATCGAATGAGTTACCGTTGATAACGCCTCTACCACGTAGTACAGTTGCTTAATGAAGCGCGGTTCCACCTCGCTGCTCAGACCTCCAAATTTGCCAGAAGCAAATAATTATAAAATTAGATTGGTACTAATTTAACATTATTACAGAATTTGGATATGATGCATCTCCGTAGTAGAATAATTAGATGCGCAATCCTATTCAAGCCGTAAACATTTAAGAATCATAAAACGATCCCTGTTAAATAGGTAGCATTCTAACCTTCTATACAGGTGTTTCTATACAGGTTTGAATTTGGTAAACTCGAATTTCAACTGTCAAACTTTATTTACAAACTCTAAGCGTATTTCCGAGTCATAATACGTGCTTCTTTGTTGTCTTAGTTGTCTATGTAACGTTTGATTACGAAGCCCCAATATCGGCAGCTCACCAATCTTAGAAAGCACCCATTCGAGGTGAGCAATTATGCCACGTACGAAGGTGTTGAACAGTGCAAACACGACGGGTATATCCTCGGTGTGAATGCTGGCAAAGGCTTCAGTCTCAATATCTCGACCGCCGTCCTCCAGAAGCCCACAAAGCAAGGAAAGTCGACGGGACAAACCGCGCAGCAAGGCCAAACCGCCTTCTATATGACTCGATAGATCAAGCATGAGCGGTAAATACGCCACACCGGCTTCTGTACAACCCTTGTCCGCCTGCAAATAAAGCAGATAAACAGTCCTGTAAATCCTAAATATAAATCACAAGTCTAACGACTACTTTGAGGTAAAGGCATATTTGCCTCAGTTCATACAAAGAAGACGATTCCAAGTCGAATGAACAGAGGCCGACATTTCAGAGTACGTTTGAGAGCTGGTCCATACTATCTAACAGAGTTTGAATGCAGATAACTATACTGATACGTTATAATAATACTAATACATATTAGCGAAACTAATAACTGCTTGTTGCTTCTAAATTTCCAAAATTGAGATTTTGCTCTAGCAGCTCAAATTTTTGTCGTTTATCTGTTCGAAAACAAAAACCTTCTATTTGATTCTTTTCAATAATGATAATAATTTATAATTAATTAATAAGGGCTTCAGCTTCCAAAGGAAACCTACCCAGGTGTATATATCTGTCATCAACTCTATGTCATCGGGAAAAAGTAAACAGAGGCACTGTACGCAGGCGAGCAGCGGACCAAGATCTGTTTCGCGTTGGGAGTCAGAATTCGCCTGACGAATCATCTCTTGCAAATAGCGGAAAAAAGATGCGCGCGAGTCGACGCCCAAATCTCGTAGCAGCTCCTCACGAGCTTCAAGCACATCTTCTCTATTAAAAACGTTGCCCACAGCTGCCTGAAGATTCGCGGAAAGCAGCGATACACACCGTCGTCTGGTTTCGGCGTCGATGTAGGGCTTTGTCAGCGTTTCCTTTTAGAGGTTCATTGAACAGGAAATACGTTCTAGATCAGGCGGATATCGAATGCTAAAATTAAATGGTACCCAAACTACTAGTTAACGATTAACTCAACCATATTAAAAAAATTATTAAATGTTGATCAGACTTAGTGGACACGCAAGATAGAAATTTAATTTGAAGCGTCACAGAACCTATGCAATAGGCGGCTAACCTTGAGTGCTCCGAGTAGCTGTCTCCTCTCGTGAGCTTCAAGCTGCTTCCTCTGGGCGAGCCCATCCGTTGCGTAGATGCGAACCTCCACGGGAACAGCATCCGTCCGCAGTAGCCAACAAAGTACCTCGTTGCTTAACAAGCATTCTGAAGCGAGCGGTTGTTTTTCTCCCTAACGTTACACGTTCGAAAAATAAACATGTGCAAACATAAATTCTTCCATCTAACTTGAAGAAGCAAACATCGATTCGCTGGCTACCGATCAACGCTGGCCCGATACATCTGCAGTTAATAAAAACCATCATTGCTTAAATACCTTTTTCTTCTTGGCCCTCCGATCAGCTGTAGAGCCACCAACACTAGACGACGCCTGTGAGCTGTCTGACTCGTTTAGATCCTGTTGCTGCGTGCGGGTTATTCCCGCATTACCACTGGCTTTGCCATTTTTGATCAACTCCTGAATCCCTGACGGATCCAGACCAAATTCAGCTGCGAAACGGACTAGTGCGTCAAGACATGTCGGATCGCCCTGCTCCACCAGGGAGCACAGCACTCTGTAGAGTTCTTTAAGCACGCGAGATTTAGGTGATCCTGTAGCATAATAGTGCAGCAAATGTATCATTCACATATTAGATAACGTTCTGCAGGCAAATGCGTTTGCTTCAACATTAGATGACCAAAACAAATTGCCATAATTTGTAGATATCTTTAAAAACAGTTGGGAATTCTATTGACAGTTATAATTTTTCTATATTCATAATCAAATAAGCATGACACATTCAATGGTGATTAACACGTGTATCTGACATGGCCTCTTGCAACGGCTGAAATTCCTTTAGGCTGTATATTAAGAAAGCTGTTCTCTTCGTTAAAAGCTTTACGTATCGTCTCCTGCAGAATTACGGTTTTAGCATAATGGCTGTCCGTAACATTAAAATATATTTTCTCAAGTATTTATAATAAGAACTACTCCATTAGCACGATTTTAAGTAATATAAATAGGATACGAATATGAATGTTTATTCCGCTTGGCCAATAAAAACAGTTGTCTGTATTTCTCGCGGGCGGTGTGCATACCAGCTAAATCGAAATTTCTCACTAAAAACATCTACGGAAAAAGAGAAGGCGTTACGTCGAAAATCCCGCCCTCGGCAACAGCAGCATCTCCGTGATCATTATCAACGACTACTAACGGTTTTGGGATACTCCACAAACCTTTGACATGGGTTTTCCGATAGGTGCAAAGACAATTTGAAATAGCCATGAGCACATGCGGGTCATTCGGCATCTCCGTATGGATATCCTTAAGCAGCTCGAAGATAGCTTCTTTCAATTTAACATTTTCTTTCACAAGTTCCGGGAGGCCTTCCAGAAGACATCGCCTCACTTCGGTTGAACCTCGACTGTTGCCTATAAGTAGGCGGCGCACCAGTTCAAGAGCTTCGAGACACAACCGGCCTGGAAACCATCAAGAAATATAGATTTCACGTGACGTTTTTTTATAATCAGCGGCAAAACCAGTTATTGCATTGATTAACCTTGTATACAGGCAGAACTGCATGTCTGGAGATTTGAAGTCTTCATAGCTAGCGGCTGCTGTAGCAACAATCATGAATGAAAATAGTTTCATTTATACAAATCTGTAGAACTGTACAGACTACCAATTAATTACCGTTAGGGTTTTGTGAGACGTCTGAACCGTCGACAGTGAAGTAAGCGACAATCTCGAGTAATCCTTTTGCTGAAACCAGGCTCGAGCTTGGATCACTTCCAAAAACACATTTGCGTAAACACATCAGCAGCTCGTCACGTACTTGAGGACACGACTGAAGAATAACGCGAACCAATGATCGAGCTACGCTTGGGTTTACTGACGGAAGTGCTGCGAAGGACATTGAAAAAGAAATACTGTTGATATAATTCCTTTTCTTGTTTAAAGAAAATTTGAAGAATAAAAATATTAACAAGTACAAAATCATATCAATTCGCATGTCTCAATCGGATTCAAACCGGACACCTTTTGGCACCGAATTCCCTGTGAAAAAAAAACGCCTCCTTTACTCAAGTGGATATATCGTATTCAAATAGTAATAGAGAATTTTTTCACAGAGAATATTGATGCGAAGTATGGCGTAACATTCAAAATCGTCTCCTTGTATGTTCGGTATGAAAGATGTTTTGAAAATCGCTAGCAGGATTACTGCAAGCACACCAGCGCCGCTCACTCAGGTAATGTTCACCTTAGTTAGCAAAGTGGGGCTGAACATAAGGCTTCGAATTTTACTTGTTTTTTTTATCTGGCAAATATAATAAATTACATATAATAAATGTTAAAAAAAGAACTATTCTAATAATCGTAGAACGTTCTACACAATCTCAGCTTGTGTCAATCTTAGTCATAAAATTAGATTTTTGATTAAGTTATAATGAAGAATATAATGCGGCACTCACCTGAGATCACGTCCCAGCCAACGGCTGCCGGCAGTTGACCACAGGGCAGTTTTGACAGAAGATCTGCGCACTCGTTAGTTGGATTTTGGAAATGCATTCGAAGGGTCCGATCGAGGGCCAGTTGCGCCGTGCCAGTTTGCGACGAGGTATTGCACAGGTTCAATACCATAAGAGCCCCTTGCTGACAAACGCGACCGCTCGTTTTCGAGGCTAGCAGAGCAAAGGCGAAATCCATCAGACAGGTGGAAATTAACTGGACACGATCATCACTTGGACTGGAAGACAATGAACGTCATTAAAAGGTCAATGGGTACAAAAGGTACAAGCGACATGTCGAAGCTGTACTAGTAAGGCAACCGTTGCTCGAAATTTGTGGAACTTTTTTTTCTTTTGTTTAAAGGAGGAGCTGTTGAAACTATATATATATATATATATATATTATTCCTTTTCTACCTGAGAATGCAGGCGTCAACTATAGCCAACGGCGGGTACGCGGGCAACGCCTCCCTCAACCATCGAGCGTCCAGCCTTTTCAGTTCATAATCGCAATGAAGTGTCACGGCGCGAAGTAATGCACCGTGGGTCGCGCCCTGAAAAATATAATCAAATGCGAACTCTTTGAAGTGACTATCCTTATATTATAGATAGATATTTTTGACACAACATATAAACGTTTTCTTCAACATGAAAGTGGGGAGAAAACTGGGCACAGTCGACGACTAGCTTGTATTGTACATAGTCGAACTGTAAATTTCGCTGATATGTTTTAACCTTTCGATCTTGCGCATTTAGAAGTTTGACATGTCATGATTGTATGTATCATTCAGTGAGCAGAAGACGCTAAATTACGGGTCAGATGTGCAACAGTTAATAAACAAAGAGCAAAGCTCAATACTATTTAGTTAGTTAAAATTAACTTTTAATTAGCAACTCTCACCTGAAATGTGCGATGAATCGATCCTGCCAGCAAACAGAGACGGAACTTGAACGCATCTGAGAGGATGGCCTCAGGTTTCGTTTTCACTAACGTCTGAATAGACTTGGCAATCTGCAATCGCAGGACCAACAGTTTTTTTTCTAAATCATGTATTACTCTCACCGCTCAAAGCGCCACCTTGGCATCTGCCCTCTTTTTTTTTGTAAGAACTACATTACCTAGGTTATAACCGATTCATTCTCAAAGATTCCTGGCCACCCGCGGACTTCTGAAAACTGGAGCAGGCCTGAGGGTCACATGTATAGATTTTGTGGAATATCCTATATGTGAATATTTCAAGAAATTAAAAAAATCATTGATGTTGATATCTATACACGGTTACGTTATGTATGCGACAGGAAACGACACGTTTGTTAAAAGGATCCATCAGTCCATTACAGTTCGAATCCACGTTAAACTACCTTGTTCTTAGTCGTAACTGCATAAATCGAATGCACCATATATTAATAATCCGCCAACCTATTATTAACTTAAATAATCCAAAGATTGTGTGGACAAGAGTAAACCTCGACACACATACGCCAGGGTTGTGTCTTGCGGCAGTTACACATTGTGCGAGAACCCCGGCTCGAGTCACTTCGTCGAGTTGATCGGGCCGAAGGCGATGCAGAACCTGTGAGAACAAAAAAAAAAACTTTCATTGAAGACATTGATAATCTTGGAACTGTGGAGTAGATGGTTCAGCCACAAAATGATCATTCTTGTCTATGCCTGCCGCATGTGCATTTAGATTACCTGTTCGAGAAACGAAGCATGGAGAGGCAACAGATGTCCTAGTAATCGCAATAGTTGTGCCCCTGGAAGTGAGCTGATATATGGGGCCAACACCGGCGAGATTACGGTCATCTGTGCTGCTGTCGGTTCGATCTCCCTGTAAATCACATTAACGGCATCAACTTAATAGACAGGAACATCGATACTCTTTTGCAAGAATTTTCAGGTCACATTTGTGTAAAGGATTATAGGTAAGCATATACTATATATATATACATGAGCAATACACACCTAAAAAACTTGGCAATGTATGGTACAAAATCGTCTTTCCATGGCGCCTTATCCACGATGGCTTGGACGAGCGCGGTCTTCAGATCCGCAACACGGGTTGCCCGCCACAGGACACGCACGCCCGTCGACGAAGCGTGTAACAACAGCGACGACAACAACTCGATTGTCATAGGACAACCAAGATTATCGACAATTGTTTCACATAGGCCTATTAATGTTGATCAAGAATAGACCTGAGTGGATTCAATAAGGCTAGCTAGCGTTGGGACATAGAATGTACAGGTATTAATGGTATACGCAGGCTTCCAGTATTTTTCGACTGATCTGGCTAAAACGAAATCTCCAATTAAAACGATAAACTTAACATCAACTGCTAGCAGTAATATATGTTCACTAGGATACGATGTTAAGATACGTTTTGGAAAAAATTTAAGCAATTTAGATATAGAACTGTCTATAACTATACGATTCATAACACTTGAATTACGGCTGAATATGACTAATATGAATGGTGCAGAACAGCCAAATACACCTCGTCTGTCTCTGCATCTGATACTCTCGTTTATTTAAAGCAATTTTTGAAAATAGCTTGCCTTTAAATTGAACAAATTAAATATTCTCTATTTTAGGTGACTGCGAACTATTTCAGAATTTCACTCAATATTTCTCTAAATGTGACTTGTATAGCTGCTATAAAGTACTAAGCACTGGACACCTATGTTCGCAGAGCGGGACATTATCACGCTTACCGGAACTATCTGCAGGGGGCAATAGAGTCACATCCGCCAACAGCTCGACTAGAAGGTCGTTAAGCGACTCTGCAACGAGGTCTACTTCGGACTCAAACCAAAACCGGAGAACGGCGCTAACCATCTGGAAGTATCAGTCGATTGATTGGGAACTTTTCCGCCCATACCCAACGTACTTAGACACTTACAGCTAGTGTTCATCTACTGTATCTGAATCTAAACGATTTTGTTATCAATGAATATACGCAATTGCCTAGCTAATTTGATTTAGTCGTCGGGCATTAATTTGAATTAATTTTTGCTAACAAACCTGACGAAAGACAACGACGCGAAATGATTGCTTTCCAAGTTCATCAGTATCTGAAACAAAGTTAATGGTAATTTACCGTTGTGCTTCCGCACATATAACCTATAAGCATACCTCTATATAAGACACTAGTCGAAAATAGTTATTGATTGCGAATCGGCAATGTTCGGTTTGAATTTTTTAAATCACCGATATACATCTGATTCGCGATTATAATTTTTATTTTTTTTTTGTTAAAAAAACCAAAATTTATATATATATATATATATATATTTTTTTTTTTTTTCATAATCTGCTAAGGTCGTTCGATACAAACTCACCCTTTCGAATCGCTTTGTAAATGCCAGCTAAATTTCTACCCGATTTTTCTCTAATATGTCGTTCAATGACGCCGCTAATCTGAAATCGAAGGCCCAATGGCTAAAAAAAGTTCTGTTGCTACTGCATAATATCATGCCGATAATGTAATATTATAGAAAATAATTTGTCGTTTTATGGATGACAATTCAAGTGAGCAATAGACTTCTAGCATTCGCTGCATACTATATACGCTAGCTAGTGAATCTCTACTACGCAAGCAAGGCTCTTTGAGTAATAGCCTGTTTAGATAGGTATATAAATATATATGATGATTTAATTAATTAATAATTAGAGTTTTTATTCATTAAATTTAAAAGCAAGTCGAAGCATAAGTTCCAGCTAAGGTATAATCTAATTAAAATTTTTATTTATTTGAACGTTTTTGCTGAAATAGTTCATACGTTTGGGCCGAACGACCGCAGAAGATGGCCAGACTTACCGCGTCTCGATCTAGATTTTCGATAGAAGCTCGCAACTTGTCCATTCTTAATTTCAGTTTCACGATGCCGTTTTCGCTCCGAAATTATTGGCGTTATTCGCTCTCTCTATGTAAAGTTTCTCTTTCGTGACACTTGTACATTACCAGAAACTTATGAACTATATCGTATCCATGTGTCAGCGTTTGTGGAAATAGGACAAGCTCCCAAGAAATACACACAACACGAATTGCTTCAATGTAGCATATTAAACAATAACGGTAGATATAATGGGGCCACAACGGACGCTAGTATCTGATCTCGAAAGCTGCCTCTTGTGCTGTTTTTCTGTTACATAAAAGTATTTTGTAGTACTTTTGAGAGCGTCGCCTGGGTGTTCTAGCTGATGCCGTAATCAGTGAACGAATAACTGGAAGAGCTTGCCCGGGCTTTTTCATTCGGCTAGTCGTTCGAATTGCTGAATCATGGCGCGTTCAACTGGATAAACGCATTGAGACATGCGCCTGGCGCGACAAAGCTCTTGTGTTGCGAACTCCGGTGTCGGGTGAGATCTGTGCGTCTGATATCAAAGTGGTGTGGTCAATGGAGCTGATGTTTCTCGTTTAACGATGCATTTTGTACGGGATCCATCTGCTTTCAGTTATGACACAATGATAACTTAGTTTGTTGGCGCGGCATTCAATCAAACATTCATAGATATGTGGCCTACACACTTGGTCCGTTGTGCTTCTGCATAAAAATCTAAATACTACATAATGTAGGTGAATAATAAATAAGCTCATTCTTACTTATATACACGTATAGTTTCCGTGAAATTTATTTGCCTCTGAGCACTTTCGTTAAGGAAAAGCGGTGGGCGGAAAATGCCTAATAATAATCAGAAAGTTATTATTCTTCTTAACTCGGAGCTGGGCTAAAACATGTCGACTTTCAAGAGCGACTGCGATACGGCAAAAGCAACAATATACTTCCTTATTGGGAGCACTATTACTTTGCAACCCCTCGAGATCTACTAGTCCGATACAACATTCGCTGACTGCGAAAAGTAAGGTCCGGAGAAGTGCGATAGCTGTATACACTGCCTGCTCCGAAACGCTCATTTGATAAGGTAGAGATGCCCTTTAGGAGTTTGTCGAGGGCCACGGGCATGCAAAGCTATGTGTGGAACTTTCTGGGTTGCTTTAACCAGCCCGTGCCAGTATAAAGGGCAACATCGTTCGAGCTGTGGAGCTTACGCAGACAGTGCCCCTTGTTGCGACAATCTGCACTACGATACTATGTATGAGCATGATTAATAAGTGAAATCATGTATGGTCGTAGTTTTATTACCGCTACGCTTACGCTCTTTGGTGACTGCTGAATGGAAGATGCTTTTTCACATAAACTCGTAACGGAGGCACTAAAACGTATAAATAAAATGAAAATATCAAGTTAGTAAGCTTTAATATTCTGTGTTGTATTCTGCTCTATCAAACAACCGTATATATCTGATAAGAAAGACAAGAAGCTAAGTTACTTGCCGCCCGGATCCACACATGGCCATGTATTCAAAGGGATGAAACTACTAAATAAGTTATGCAGGTATAAATGTCTGTCGAAAAATGCCTATGCCGGACCCAGACTGCTTTTCGTTGAATGTCGCTAGGTTTAGTAGCAGGTAAACACATTTCCAATCCATTGTTTTGAGGACAGAGTACACAGAAACCGACAGAATCAAACAAAAACTTGCTGCGCCTAAAAAATTGTCTCAGAGTCCGAATGAGCCAAAAGGTATCTAAGCCTGTAGTTTTCGGGATTTAAGAAAATATTAGGTTCATCATAATTCTGTGAGAGAAGATCCGTCGAGAGGTCTACGTCGAGCCTCGGCTGAGTTTGTGGTGCTTTGAGTGCCTATTGAGTTTCAGGCGGAGCCAAAAGAAGGCAGCATTTTTTTATCATCGATGGCATGCGGCCGGGGGGTTCATGGGGGTATATTCAAACATATTTATTAGATGTTGACGGAAGCTGTTTTTATTATAATGGCGTGAAAAGTCTGTGACGACGGTAAGCAGAGTACATAGTATAGCGCTAAGCGATATGTATAAGCATAGGTTTTGTTCTATCTACGATTTCTGCCCACAGTAAAAGGGCTACCTGGCTCAACCAATCTTCTTTTTCTCTTTAAATGTCTCACGTACTTGAAATAACAATAGGTCGCCTCTCATGAAATAACATGACAGGCAACGAAGACGCGAAAGAACTGCAAAGAAATTGGCCCCCCATGGAAGCCATATAACCTGCACAACAAACGTGATTTAATTAAGTACTACACGAGCATATAAAGGAAACTCTATCGAAAAAACCGAAAGAGTGCATTTTCTTCTAAAGCTAAGTGTATTTTGGTTAATAATATAGTTTGTCTAGCAGTATATAAATATTACGCAGCCATCATCATTGCATTCATTCGGTCTATTACTATTAAACCTATGCGCTTGAACCTCGCCGGGAAACGTATGCGTCACGGTAGAAAACAAGCTAGAAACGTAACAATATTAATTGTCCCACTCATTGTATTACATCGTATTTGTCAAGCAAGTTAGGTAGATGGTATAAAGAAAAGTGTAGAAAGAAAAGCTACAACCGTATTACGATATTACAGGTACATTTAATTGTATTCACTATTAATATTATCTATAGGAAAGTTTCGAAAAGCATTTCGTCTGTATTCTATTTTAATAATATATTGGGTTACTGATCAATAGGACATGACAAGGAAAAAAACATCTTTTTTGGAACGCCTTTGAAAGATTTGCCTTGTAATCTGTCTCTTCTAATTAGCCACACGCCTAGTATTGTGGCTTCTAGAGAAATCAAAGAGAGAACTAAAAGAAAACCGCATTTCCTTCATCGTTGCTCATAAATGATCTTACTAGTTTACAGATCGAGGTAATCGTCTAACTACTTCGTCATCGAGACATCTTTCGTTTATTGTAAAACTTGTTAGAGTCTATTGCTTTACTTTCATCACGACAAAAAAAATATCGCTAAAAATCCTTATTAAAAACAATCACTGCTTTGCGTACAGTTCTGTAAACGGACGGTCCGTAAATGGTACGTACGTAGTTTTAGAGCGCTCCATCGGTCTGTCAGCGACTACGTGCAAAGATTGCGATAAAACATCTACTATATAAATGGTGAACGGTTAGCTAAATATTTTGTCTGTAAAAGAATAAAGATAAATAAAAAATGTAAGGTTATATTTCTTCTTTGCTCTTTCGCCTCGAATATCAATATACTAATTCGAGAGTTAATTTTTATTTAGCTAACATTTTAAGGAAAGTGAGGTGCAGAAAAGGCAGCTCTGTACTACAATGGATGATATGATATTGAATAGGAGATGCGAGTCTAATGGAAGATATGGCACGTATGCCAAGTCCCTGTGACCTCGAGGCTCAACACTATCAAAGTGGTATTCCAATCGCTCTAGTAGATTGTGAAAGTTGCGAATTGTGATTGCTAATTAATAAATGAGGCACCGACCTTACTTGAATAGAATCCCAGATCTCTGGTCTGATACGTGCACCGCTATCCATCATAGTTTACCGAAAGTTGAAGTAGATTCAGCTTAACAACGACGTATCTGACCTTCCGAAGCATTTCTAGATCGACGATTGGTGTTTTTCTCTGCGCGTTTAGCCAGACTCTTGCGCGAAGAGCCAGATGCCATCTGAGAAAACGCAAAAAGTATAGCATGCAAGTTGTGAACATGTAAGTGGTAAATATATGCAAGCAATATATCATTCGTCAATTTGACAAAAATCGCTAGTAATTCGACAAAAAAAAGAGTAATAGATCATAAATTAGAACTGCCTGAAAAGAAAAAATTATTTAGAGTTTTTCTGTTTTACTTTTCTTTTTTACTAAGTAAGTAAACATTCTCGGAAAAAGACATGTTACCTTGTTCGATATATCATTATCAATGTAGTAATGGTAGTTGATATTAGTATTCGATCCTGGATTCTACGTATATACATTCCTGTGGCTGTTTTTCGTGACCATTTAATTCATTTTAGGTGCTTGTCTCCTTAGAACGTATCCTGTCACGATATATTTTAAGGATGAGGAACGCACCCGAAGAGTAGAATCACCTCGAAATAAAGCAGGTAGTCAATATTCCCCTAATCATGGTCGCTATGGCTGCCTAAAATGATACCAGATTGCAGTAGCAGGCAGGAAAAACAACTACCATGCTCTGTAGTTTCTCGATTGCACCTGGCGCAACCGCGTTAAGAAATTCACAGATCATCCCGCCTTCGGCGCTGTTCCTTGCAGCAAGTCCGACAAAAAGCTCTTGTGGGCTGAGAAGACCAGCTTTTTTCTGCAGCAATGCAATCACATTTCAATAGTAAAGTTGATCGATTATCCAATTTTAGCAAATTTGATTCACCTAGATAGTAAAAAAAAAAAAAAAATGCTATTTCCTGTTGCCAGGTCTCTGCCACTTGTTGATGTTCCTATTTTAAGATAGCAATTTGTTTTTAACCCCGACTCTTTCAACAGCTCAATTTCTCATCTGTTTCGAAACAAATCCTTTAAACAATCGTTATGAATTGCACGATTTTGTCTTTTCTCGGGTACGATTAACTAAAAGTTTTGTGTAAACCATCCCTTGACGTAAGTGTTTATTGTTACAAATCGGATGACGCAGACAGCAAAGCCTATGCGGCTATACCGGAACCGTTACTTCCTAGCGTTCGTACTGTACGATTAAGATTTGTCTGAGTAAATTTTCGTTATAGCGAGCAGTGATAATTTCTGCTATTCGCAGTTAACTTTGCAATAATAATTGCAGTTTAGCATTGTTTCGGGTATCTGACAATTGACTATTGATCACGTTTAAGCTCCAAGTAATGCAACTTTAGCTCGCTTCTAACCGCGATATTAACGTACGGTCTTTAAAATTCGTGGACCTATAAATATATATTCAGGACGAGATACTACCATTCTTTCTTAAGCTATTCTTATTGTGTCACCTATTCAGTACAGCATATAAGATTTACCCCCCACTAGAAAGTCTAACTGGGGTGGGTTGTACGTAGCTTCAAAGGCTGGGTTCCGAATTTGAGGAGGTTGGGGAGAAGCATACTACCACTACACAGTTATGATGATATGACTGGGTCCTATACTGATTTAAGTTGAACGTGCCCACGGTACATCTGAATAGGGCTTTTCCAAGCAGAGTCCGTAACCTCAGGTTGCATGACCTTGGCCGCCGGTAAACGCTTGCCATTCCCCAGTAATACGGCAAACGTTTAGTGTGGTCTACCAGTGATATTGGTAAATTAATTGCGGATGAAAATAATCGAATGGTAAAAGGTATGGCAGAGTTGTCTGTTTTCCTTTATGGGAAATTTGCGAAGAAACCATTTTCGTTTGACACACATATCCTATATAGAGGTGACTAGTTTATATTTTACCTTTCTTAGGCAAAAACTTCGCGTTGTCAAACGCTGTAAGGATCTTTTCCAGGTGACTCCTGCTACGATGACATCAACGATGTTTAGAATAATATCTAATTTAGATATTGGTCTACTTTATTGAGGACCTTTGCTAATTCGCTCCTGTGACTTCAAGTCACCAAATAAATAAAAAGTCGATCTCGCAAAGGAGAAGAACGAAGAGGCGATCTATCGAGCACTAGTTTATAGTTTATCAATTGCAGGCGACATGAGGAAGATTAATGCGTTCACACAACCGAATTAGTTCGGGGGGATACAAACGCATTTATAATGAAATTGTTCTGAATAGCAATAATTATTTTATTCCTGTTTCAACAGAGGATTTTGTTACCTTACTAGTGAAATAACTTTTTAGTATTATTATTACTATTATATTCAGCTCACGATTGAGCTTATGGGTGCGCGCATGATGTTTTCATGGAATTGAGCAGGAACACTTCAAGGATGGAGTCATTCCATGACTCCAAGGGGTCATGACCTTGATAAAGGTCATGACCCCTTGGAGTCTGAAACAGAAGTTTGTCGAGAAGAATAGAGCGTACTTCAGAAGATATAACAAACTCGTCGAATATGTTTATCCAATTTTTATGGGCAAAATATTTATTTTCTGCCATCTTTCTGTTCCCTTTTAGTTTGAAGCACACAAAACTTCGAACCTAATATTGTTAAAGCAAGCGTAGAAAAGTGAAGCGACCGAACGTAAAACACTGAACTTTTGTTTAGTGGTCCGTATATGTCTACCATGCGTTGTGTAATTTTATAAGGTCTTAGGAAATTCAATTAGTATGGTTAATGGAATCCAAATAACTTTGAGTGATCCTGACCTACCTTGCAAGGAAGTGGACCCGACTGAGGAACCCTGATTCTGCAGATTGCCTTCGTATTAAAACGGACATAAAATTATAAGAATTACAATAAACGTATTTCCAGTTCCGGCCGTCTGTGAATACATAACACTGCTGCTTCAACCGGTCAGCCGCCAGCCTCTAACTGTCGAACCTCGTCATTGCGGCAAATATGGTTGCAACCGTGTGTCACGATTCGTGCTGAGTCGTTCTGACTCTGCTTCTTCGGAGAAAGACCATATACTATCTCCTGAGTCAGTGGACAGTCGCGATTGTTAAGTAACTAAGAGCCACGCTTCAAGTGGATGGGGTCTTGCATGCCATCTCCTATATGCACCTACTATACGACGATGATCATTGACCCGAAAGGAGCCGCGGAAATCTTAAGTTATCAACTTAATTACCAAACGAAGGCCGATCTACGTGTAAGGGTACATAAGGCTGGGTCTTGCTCAGGGGGGGTGCGTAGCATTTATTGGGCCGGAAATCTTCGACACGTTCCATCAAGGGATGTTATTAATTAGGCTTTTCCATAAAATACCCGTCAGAAATCATTCGTTCGATGAGAAATAAAACCAACTGGCTTTTTCATTTTTTATCATTATAGCTTACCCTCATTTTATGTGTGTTCCCTTCTCAGTTCATTGGGTTTCATCGCAAACCATCACAAAAATATGCAACGTCATTGTTAAAACCGTCCAGCGGCGAAAATGTCTTTCAAATCATCTGCGCGTTTATCATTGTTGCACTATTAAAGCCTTTGTTTAAAGCTGCCTTTAAAGCTTTTGTTTAACACAGTATCTAAAACACTGTGGTACGTTTTTGATCACTGCGGTGAATACCGACCTGTGTGAAAGCTTCCCTCTGCACCTTCTATACAATGTGTCCATGCAAACTAACTCTGTTTGCACGTATGCGCTTATTGTGCATTGATGGAACAATTACGAAAGTCTAGATTCATTTGGTGTATGTTGTTTTAACAGTATCGTAATGCTAGAGCCATGGTTAATAGTTTCTGTTAATTAATAGTTGGTGCAAAAATGCTCTCGATACTCTTATTTTTCACACAGGAGGACCTTTTTTTTTATGTATCTTAGTACTTTTTAAGTTCGGCAAGCAGCGAACTGTTCGTCATACAAAGCATGACTGCGTTAAAATGAAAAAAAAAACTTGTATGGCCCTTGGCTTCCGGAAAATACGTTTTCTGCTTACCTACAACTGACGCGGAGTATACTAGTAGAACCTGTTGTATGGGCACTTACGCTTACGCCTACTATATAATTTTGCATTTATTTATTCATAGTGTCTGTTACTTAAAAGTTTAGCTCAAGTGTGAACATTGTTGCCGATTCCCTTTTTAATTTCGATTAACATGCATTTTTTTTTGCAAACCGGTTAATAATCGGCTTTGTCGTGTCAAGCTCACCGCCCCGCAGTATGCCGTTACAGGTGTTTCCCGTGCACGTGCAGTGCTTATTATGATATAGATGCAGTGGTCGCAGCGCTCGCAAGCGTTGCATTTAATATGTCTAACTAAGCAATACACAAAGGTAGCTGACCTTGTGAAGACCAATGAATTTGAGAATTTAAGAGATACGGGTTAAAACACTGCAAACACCGAACCTGAACAAACGCCAATCATCTGATTACAAACCACCAGCAGTTACGTGTTTTGTTATCAAAATTAACACAATAAAAAGCTTTACAAATACAAATGTACGCGTATATACGATGGATTGTGAGACTACAGTTTCCATTTTTGTGGTGCTCCTGTTTGAAAGGTTACGATACTATGTTGTTGGCTACGTTAGAGAAACTTACCTGGTTACTTGATCTTCCCACGTATAAAATAAAGCAAAGATGAAATGAAAAATGTATACCGTATATTGGCCTGTGTATCGGCAATAGCCAGAATCAATAACATTTGTAAGTATGTGGTGAGGCTGTTACTTTATGAGATCAGGTATTTATTCGAGAAACCAAACAAGTTACCCGTAACGCACCTCGCCAGCGATGATCATTCTCTTCGGTATGCACACTCTTGGTAAGCTGCGTCTGCGACATGGGATCGCATCGCAAAGGAAGTATAGCAGATACTGGATGACAATGCGATCAACCTTTCGTCCAATCCGTAAATTTCTCCGTTCGTCCTGGTAGAAAAGTAAGACAATTTGATTCACTCTTATGGTGATTATCGCAAGTTGAACGCAATGACAAAAACGTTTTCCATTGTCTAGGATCGACGATGTCATTAATGGGTTAGAAGGAGCCCAAATACCTTCCTGCTTGAACCTAGCGAAAGACTATCGGCAAATCTCCATGGCAGCTAAAGGAAATGAAAAAACCGCACTGTATAACCCATACAGTCTATATCAATCCAAGCGGATGCCCTTTGCCCAATGCTCATTGCCAGGCGACGTTCCAGCGGCTGATGAACCCGGTATTAAGGCAATTGCGGCAATGTATGGTTTTGGCCATATCAGTAATATCATCGTCTTTTCTCGGGGTTCGAGGAGCATCTGCACAATCCTCGGAAAGGACTTAAATAACCTCGGTGTGCGTCGAAGTGTTCGTTCACTACGCAGAAAGTCGTATACCTTGAACATACAGTTTCCCCGCTGGGAAACTCCCCTGACCCGGAAAAGATTACAGCGATAGACGTCACGGCGCCATCGATTACTACTAGTCGGTTACAAGGCTTCCCGAGACCGGCATCTTATACCCGCCGGTTCGTAACAGGCTTCGCTAAAGTTACAAGTTGCTGTAAGATTTGCTGAAACCAGAACTGCCCTTCGCGTGACCTATGCCTCATGAGAAGACGTGGCTTCGAAATAGGCCATGACGAGTGGATCCGTCCTGTGAAATTCGCCAATAGACTTGCCGACCGAAGAACGGACCGATGCGAGTGGTGCCAGCCTGGAGCTGTTGCTCGTCTAGTTTGACGGCGACTTGAAATGCCTAGTAGTCCTTGCATTCCACCAGACGAAGTGGCATTTGTCAGTGACACAGTGGCTGTTGTCTAGGTAATAAATTTTACCCGTAGTCGCTGACAACAGCGCAGTTTTACTACCTGCAAAACAGAGGACCGTTGCCGCGATCTGGCCTGGTGGGCTTTGGAGCTGTTGAAGTATGACTTCGTGTGCGCCACTTGCGCAGCACGGCAAACTGCAATACGAACGCACCGTCACTAATCCTAAAAATGATTAGTGACAGAGCCGGCCACGAATCGTCTGTACCACATCAGCTGGCCTTGGTGGTGACCATGCTTATGGAACGGCTAGATCGTATTGCCGTCAAAGGATTGAAGTTTCCTGGCCCATTTCTATAGGTAGATACTATGTACCGTTTTGGGCTACGGGGTCTCTAATCGGGGTCCCCGCGATTAGCGCAGTCGGCTGTATGCGCTCTTTGCTACTAAGGCCGTCCGAGTTTAACAAAAACTGCCTACCGGTTTACGTTGCGTTACTTTCCCGAAAGAGACGTCTGAACAACGATCCAAGAGCACGTCCGCAGTTATAGCACTTGTCAGCGTACAAAATCAGACGATGAGAGCCTTCCGCTCCAGACGCCTATAGAACCACCGTTGCTTTTTTTAGGCCTGAACTTGTAGGGCCGCTATGCTTGCCTGGGAACAGCGGCCTAGGCGCCTTTGTTTTGTAACAGTGATTTTTTATTTTTGCGCTCGTTTTGTTCACCCTTTCTCGGCTAGACGTGGACTAAGTGTTAGTACAGGTTCTCTCCACCCCTTGGGACCGGTACAGAGCCCTCTACACGGTCTTTGCAGATAATTCCAGCTGCTTTTGGGGCCGATGTATCCGGCAACATCTAGCACGCCCCAATATTCGCCATGTAAAGACCACCAAAATAGGCCCGAAGGGGGGCGGAATGGTGGAGCGGTACAATCTATACGGTTACTGGAGAATCTCTGTGCGACTGCTGGAGTCCTCCGACTCCCCCATCCTCGCGATGTTCACGATGGCTACTTTCAAATTGTATGCAAAGGCCAGCGAAGCTCTACACGTAAGGCCATCCGAATTACTAAAGGGGTTTAACGCCGTTGTGCCAGAACAGCCGACGAAATCGCGGTTAGTTCAAAAACCCGGTGCTTCGTTATCCAAGCTGGAACAGAGGTTCACCTCCAGCTTCGCTAACGAAGGCGAGTCCTTAGAGAGACACCCTCTTCGCGCGCTCGCTGCGAAATCCATCTTCCTACGACTTCCACGCCAACACACCACGGAAGTTACTGCCTAAGTTCGGGGCAGGATCGGGTTGTTTAGTGAGTCGCACGATACATGTATCGCTTACGCGGGTCGTACGCAACGGTGTCCCACTGTTAATTTATAGGATGTCCGAAAAGTTTGGGCGCGTAATGAGGGCGTTCTACCCGGCAACGTGGATAATTGAGACGGACGTTCAAATTATTGCAGTTCCGGCTTGTGGTAGGTATCTAATACCCTCCTGTACCCCGGTCAATCACCATCCTAGAGCAATCAAGCATCGTCGTTGCTACAATATAGAAAAAATTGTGTGCTTCGTTGAATTGCCTAACTCAGAGAAGCTATTGTATTAAAGGATGTATTCAGAGAAGATAGGGACGCGTGCATCTTGCTAACTTCAGTTGTTTACTGGTAGAACACTGAACTGCCCTTTAGAAACAAACCCCCGACAAAGAGAGGAAGCTCGAGACTTCCCTGCAGTGTTGGCTGTTGCGTAAGCTGTTAGTGGGCCCCAAATTACAAAAAACATTGTTTTCTGTCCGTTAATCTCGTACCTGTCCCTGTAATGTCACATATTAAATCTAGAGACACATGGAATCCTCCAGATTAGAATTCGGAATTTGGTTCTGTACTAGTAAAAGCCAGCCGTTTGAAGCATTACATATAGGCTAGACTACCGGACGTAAAACTTGTGATATTAATTTCTCGTACTAAACTACCCTAGCATTGATCTAGAAATAATTAATTCAATAATTTTAACCATTTGATTAAATGGCACGCTATGTTGTTTTCGTGAATGCCAAATACTCAATGCTTTTGGCATCTGCATAAAGGGCGCGGGCTTTTCTAAGAAGCTATACAAAATGGTTGCCGATTGCAGTTTAAGTATCGCTACCTTGAGTAGAACGCGCCTCATATAATGAGTACTAAATTACTACACGCTATGGTTGCAAACTTATGCAATAAATGGACAAGTAGAGTGCGTTAAAGAGATTCGTTACCTAATTCACATTAAGTAATATTCAAAGTGTGATATCTTTGTGCCTATGAGAACTCTACAACAGCCGCTATGATTTCTATCGCCGCTGATACACTAAAGCGTTTCGGGGACTAGGCACATGTAGCGCTTGACTACGACTATTGGTATTTGTATTATATTCAGGAATACAAATTGTGATCGACTCGCATGCCAAGGCACTTCCACGTCTACGTTTCTTGCTCGCCTGGTTCGAATCGGGGTACCCGTGATATTTTCTTAGAGTCAACCCGCTCCCAAGCGAATACGTCATGCTAAATTAGTTAGTGCGTATTAATATTAACATTTATTAGGTTGGAAAGTCAACCAAGTCACTTCTTTCGAACCAACGATTGCTTGGCCCCCAACGACACGCCTGCCAGTTACGTTCTTACAACACGATGCCGATAATAACATATGATGCGGCAATATGTATGCCGTTGGGATCGTAGCGGAGCAGCGTAGGTAATCGCGCACGTACCGGGCGTAGTGGCAAAAGACGGTCTTGGCTACGGTGGCAAAGTTTTCAGCCACCCTCACCTGAGGGCGCTACCAGCAGTGGTTCGATGGTCCGATCTTGCGCCCTTTCCACCAACGCACCGGCGGTCTTCGGCTGGCTCCTATCAGTGATACACCGAATCAGCTGACGTTCAGAGCGCGCCATAGTAGAAGGGCGCTGTTGTGTGTAGCAGTGAAGACGCGAGTGTTCGTGAGGGCCGCAGATCCCGCGGACAATCTAATTGTTGTAGCCTAGTTTAACTGTGATCGTCAATCGGCCAACGGAAATTGTTTGACTTACCGAATGAGTCAGTGAGTTCAACGGATTAGCCAGTGTAAGATTTCTAGATCGTTTGAAATAGTAGGCTAAAGTGATATTGCTGCGTCCACGAAGTTGCCCAGGCCAAGTAGGGAACGGAAGCGCCGCACACCTCACAAGCTACGTAAGGCGGTCTAATGAATATATATGATAGTGAACCTGGGGCGCCAATATAGTCAAGTGGATCGATGGGATTCAAAAGCAGTGGCTAAACGGTGCGAACGCTTCTAGACATCTTGAGCGTAACTCACTCGAAGTTGCGTCATTTCGCGTTGTAAATGCGATCTGTCCTTCGCAATTAGAACAGACCGGTCTGTAAAAGTACCAGTGATTGTTATCGACTGCATGAATTCTTCAGACTGTGTGACTCCCGGCTCCGTTTGTGGAGGTGTCCTATCTGACAGATATCAGAGACAACAAAGTCATTTCGTCGACTACCTACAAATCCGTAGGGTACGGGAGATATTCATTCGAGTGTGTGTGCATTTCAATCAGCTGATATGTCTTTTTTGGATTACCAGCAATAGGAAAGCTAGTGAATAGTGATACACCTAACGAAAATGGTGTCAGCCGAATTTGATGTGTATATGTGCTTGCTTGTAGGAGTATCGTTATTGACGTAAGGAGCCTAATAGCGGGCGTGATTTCCGTGAATCACTCACGTGAACGCTGGATAAAGCGATTGTATATATGCGTTCATTATGGAGCTTTTGTAATATTATTTATTCATATGAATCGTGTAGTATATGTCGATGGCAAGACATGAAGCAACGACGCGACCCCCCGGTGTCATGATGGAGCCAAATGATAACCCGAATCATTTTATGAGGAGAGGCTTTTGCTAAGGAACAATTGTTGCTTATGGGAATCTCATAGGACTATTTAGTACTGCCAGCTTTCTAATGGTGGGAGGAACATCAGGGTGACTTAGATATGATACGTACGCATTTATGCAAACTATATAGTGTACATTAAGTGAGTAAAAAGCAGACGAGATATTATTATCATGATACTCGAAAAACAGTGTTCTTAGAAGTAAAATTCAAATAAGCACTTTTTTATACCAATTACGCATGGCCTCACAGACTATGTGTATTCTTATGCCACAGGTTGAACAAATCGTCTGGCGCATAACTGTCCAGTGTTAATAACGTACTGGCTTTCGGGATAAATTTTGACATCGGAACTGACACGTCACTTGATTCAAAAGGCTGTGACTCTTTATTGTAGGTTTTTATCGACCTTTTTCTGATATATTAGGTCGACTCATCAAAATTTGCCGTCTATATTTTGTCCTTCAATCACATTCAAGTTTATAATAATGTTTAAGTCATCAGCCAGCTTCATATCTGCTTACATCTTTTTCTTAGTAGCTTTAGGACTTATTGAGCGTTAATCATTATAAAAATAACTAGAGCCGTTTCTAAGTTTTATTTCTTCTAACTTAAAGTTAAAAAGGATAAGAAAACTCTCAGACTATCCACTGGCTCTCTTGGGCTTTCTGTCGTACTTCTTTTGACGCCGTTGTTAATTTTGCACCTAACGCTTACGTCTCCAGCATTGCCAAGGTTCATAGACAGCTCTGCTCATCTGAGAAAAATAGCTGAGTCAGTGCATCGCTAGCAGATAGGCAGCTTGCAACGTAGTTTTGTGACCAGGCATAAGAAACTGGCAGTTTATTGGAACCGCTTCGTCGGCCATCTGGGCTTAGCGTGCCACGGCGCCGGCTGTCATTTTGTGGCGCCACAATACGAAGAAACTTTTCCAAAGACGGGGTCAAATACAATGGAGTGGGGGCAGCGGCATTGTGTTTTGCTAGTGGATTATGGCGGGACTATCATTACGACTAGTTATAACGATGGCGACGATGATAATGATAACTTCCTTCGGCTGATCATTAACTTGAAGTTATTTTGTCAATCATCATAACGGCGATAGCTGTAACGGAAGTGAGATCTCAGCCGGACACAGGAGCGTCAGCAGGTACCGTCTCGTACGAACGACTCGCATTGTGTTGGGATTGGAAAAGACACACGGCCAAGATACCTCGGTAAATCAATATCGTCTCCTGAATAGAAGACGAAATCGCATGCCTGAGTTAGGCATAGCGGCTAGCAGATGACCCAATCTGATACCTTAATTGTTAGGACCAGAATGAGGCTGTCAGCTGTGGGCGACGATAATAGATAAATTTGTTCGGAACTGTTAATAATATAGTAATATAGTCAGTGTGTCTACTCATTACTTTGTATCCCTTAGGTTCCGTAACTGGATATAACAGAATAATACTCTACGGCACATAGAACCTTAAGGATTTCATATGCCCATTTTATAACACATATAACATTACGACTTCTGCTAGTAAGCCTCGTGTTCGTTCTAAAGTCGATTTGCGACTGTGAAATTCAGGTTTTGTTCTGGTTATCGAAAACTCCAGAACGAGATGAGGGAAATAATTTGAAAAAAATGTTTTGATTTCTTCTAAAAGAAGCTATTTAGTACAGTAAAAACAAGTTCAGGGTTGTCAAAACTTGTACATAAAAACAATTATAGAAAAACAGGTATTGATCTATATAAAGGATTGTCTTTTTTTCTATTGACATAAGCTGCTTGGGTATGTGTTGTTGGCGGGATTTGAAAATTTGAAACTATTAATATACACATAAACAAAGGTGTTTCCGGACAGCTTGAAAAAAGTGTCTTAATGATTTGAAGAAAGTCTACTATGTTCTATTTTTTTTTGTTCAAACTGTAAGGAAAAATCTTTCAAATTATTCAGAATTTTTTCTTTCTTTTGTTATGTTTACTAGGGCTAACTTTTCGACCATTCACATTGGACTGTCATGGATAATGCTGAAATAGCTTGTCCTAAAACAGCACGCGGAAACCTCTCACTAATGTCTATAGTGACTGTCTACTTTCCCTGACTCTTCCTCCATCCATTGTAAAAAAATTGCACTCGTGGTTTGCGCTGCTTTGCGGAAAATTTATTTACCATACTAAGATACATTGACCTGATAGTTTGGATTTGGATAGTATTTCGGTGTCTCTATTATACCGTATGTTTAGGACATGGTTTTTGAGCTACAACTACAGGAAATGCTTCACAATTGTTCTCTATATAGCGATCAGACCAGTGATCTGCCTTCTGCATCGAATAGAACGATGCTATATTCGGTGCTAGCGTATGCGTCCGTATCAGATGAAATAATCTCATGGACATTGTAAAGGCCGTGGTGCATAGCTAATATTTGCTAAGAATTATTTTTCTCTATTACCTCTTCAAAGAGCCAGTTAATAAAAGAATACTATATCAATAACTGACGAGTTTTTTTCATCATTAGCCATTGAAAACAATGCAAGAGAACAATTAGAGTAACAGAAATATATTGGTAATTTAATTTGGCATTGAAATTGTATCGCATGTACGAAATGAAACGCATTAGGTACGAAAAAAGGGGTCACTGCGAATAGTTTCTCAGTCACTCTCCGTCAAAGGCTAGAATGGCGTACAATCCTTAAGACAGAACTTCTATTGTCATTTGTTTTGTAAGAGTGAAACCTACACGTGGCGTATCAATAATGGCGGATTTTTGAGGGCTGCGTAAATATAAACTAAACCTAATTATCGATAAAATTACAAGCGGGCAAGACAGACGGAATGTATTACCTTCGTTTAGCCATGGCCGAACCAGGCATGATTAAACTCAAGAGATGAATTTAGTGGAGAAAACGAACACCCTATGTAGGAATATGGAAAGGCGTCACAAGTCTTGTCCGATTTTTCACTGATGACACCGATAAATTTCAATTGACATACTGCTTATTAACTTTTTCAGAGTGGCAGGCGCGTTACTAGATTTGAAAATAGCAAGGATTACGCCTTTAAGAGCATGTTTTCTGTTTGTATCCAGTTGACGTCAACTGTCATTACTGCGAAAGCAGGTCTACTATCACTAACTTTTCCTATCGGAGCAGAGATTCGAAGCATCTATCTCTTTGTACTTTTTATGTAACGCGCGGTTCTAAAAATAGCTGCAAAATTCCTGCTACAATGCGCGTTCCGATAGTAGGCCGGCATTAAGCGCTTGACCCTAATGAGGCTTTCCACTACACCGTCAATCCATTTCTCATCGATGATGGTGGCGATGTGACGTCCGCCGGTTGGTCAAGCGTGAGCTGTCAAGCCGCTCGGTCGAAACTCGGTAAACATCGACGTCGACGGCAATAACAGTAACAAAAACATTGGTACAAGCGTTGATGTAACCTAACGTATAGCAGAACAATCACTTTTCGACTACTGCCTTAGCTAAACCTTGTCTAAGGCGGCTGGCGGTCCCTCCCGGCGTGGGAGGAACTGCGTATTTACGTCTGGCTTCGAATATAGACTATTTTGTATACCTATAAACGAATTATGTATAGCTAAGCCTATTAGGCTGGCGTGCTCCCATTGCGCGTCATCACTGAGATCAGCACAATACTATATATTGGCACAACGATACGCATCTTAGGACGACTGCGCCTTGTTTTAGCTTTAGTGTATGATATACGCATGCCATAAGTACGCCCTACCGAATGCGTACAGCTGAGTGAGTGTCATGCGTATGGGTGAATGGATCGATAAACTATTAGTTTAATGTTAATCTATTGAATAAGACCAAACCTTACGACGTGCCCTTGTGATTAGTTTTAGGCACCACTGACTACTTACGCTATGCCGCGAAATTCGTAATCCATTGCATTGACGGACCAGTTTAATGCAAGCATGCTGCTGTATCTGATTAGCACCATTTCTAGCAATGATAACGTGATGTAGCCGCAAGGATTCAACACATAGGCTCATTTGTTCTTTGCTTTCCGTTAATCTGTATCGGTCTTTTGATAACATCGATCGATTTAATGCCATCCGTTTCATGTTGCTGAGTAAAGCATATAATTTCATCACTAATCTTCTCAGTTCTAATACCGGCGATTATAAATTGGTTGGTTTGTTATCAGGTTTCAATGTTGCGTTATAGCGGCGGCCAGCGTCAATCGCTGCACCTCTACCTTTACTATCGTTAGGATCGTTTATTTTCTGTGGCGTTTGACATAGTCCATTTTTCTCTAGCATAATTTTGCCCCTCGCTTGTCGAATTTTGGCACGCCATTTTCGTGCGATGCGGTTCGTGTTCAATTGTCTTGACGTCATCGTATCGCGTGGTAATCAGCGAGCCTTAGTGTTATCTACTTAGGGTACTATGACAGGCTTCTGTAGTTGCTGGCTTGATGCCATATTGGCCCATGGTAACTGCTTTAACGGCTGTTATCGGCCTTCTTGTCATGGACGGCGCAATAGTAATGCTAACAAGTACGGTGTAGCTGACGTGAGGGGCAAGAGTAGATGTGACGATTGCATACGAATACTTGCTCATCGTGTGCAAAGTGAAGGAGTGGTAAGAATGAACGCGCCGCGTCCGCCTTCTACTGTGGCTTTGGTCCAGCTGATACGGCGATCAGAAGAGCGGGATTAAGATCGCACTTTTTAAAACTAGATTACGTGTGGCTAACTACGTGTAACTCAGTGTAGCACGCACATATCACAGTCTTTTTCTGACTCGTTATTACTATGTTGTCCGCGTAACAGTTTGTAGCATTCACTCAGCTGATAGCTTACCAGCGGTGCCGTTTTCGGTTTAGTGCTGTGCCTTGCACAGGAAGAAGGTAACGCCGACGCCGACAGTTATTTAATACTTAAGAATCATTAATCAGCGAGTGGTTGGATTGGCGAACACCGTAGTCGAAACAGATCAGCACAAAGTGTTCAGTAAGTTAGTCAACTTGGTGGAAAATCAGGCGAAGTTCGACGGTGTCACAGGTGACCCTCCGTGCAATTAATTTTCGTTATTTATTTAGTAAATATCTATACAGATACTAACGTTGTAAGCACAAACGAACGCAGAAAAGCAATCCTTCGTTTTTCTGTCCTGTCAACTTTTCTCGATATTTAAAGCGGTTCCCCATAACTTTAGTTTGTCTTCCGTAGTGTCGCAAAACTTCCTCAACATCCTGACAACTATCCTGTGTCCTGGTATCGATGTCGATGTGCGGTATTGTTCACAAACGCGTAATTCTCAACCGTATCTTAAGCGTTTCGGCAGCGGCCATTTCTAAACGAACTATTTCTACTATGAAAACACCTTAGCCATCTGATTCTTCGTCGCGTACAGAATGTCTTATCTTGTTAAACATTTTTATTGCAATAGCAATTTTATCGGGATGTACTTGCTGAAGGCATACATTAGCATGAGTCAACAGCAAGCTGAACGCTCGTTACCATTAATTTTTGCGAATATTCCTGTACTCGAATTCGTTGCATCTAGGTTGATTTACTGAAATTTGGCTAGAAATTTGGATATGGCCAAAATTTCTTGAACCTTCCACCTCAATAGCATCGATAGCATAATTTTAATAAATGATTAAATTCTGCTTTTTCTTACTGCCGTATTAATCAGGACCCTGTTGTTGACAAACAAAATCGCTGGAAAAGTCCTCTACTGTTCCTGCTAAGGGCTGAAAAGTAACATTAAGCATCATCATGCGAGTGCGCTTCATTTCCGTACGGGGTCTCACTCGTAGTTCGAGTACTTCCCAGGTTCAGACTGCCGTAATGGTTCAGCCATGCCAGACAGCAATACCCGAGACGCCCGCATACCGTATGCGACCTACAAAGCAACTATTTACAGAAAATCAGCAGGTGTTCTATAAAGAACGCACTATCAAGGTCAGTGAAAAGTGCAATTTGTTTTTATAATTGTTAATGATATCAAAAAGGTTTCCGTTTTTAGAGACTAGATATATTTAAATACAAACTGAGTGTAACTTCATGTAAGCGACGATCTTTCAAAGATCTGAAGGGGTCCGGAGAGTTGTTTATGACGATGCCACCTCCCGCCTTTTCGAATGTACGGTGAAACGCTGGAAGTCTTTTACATTAGTAAACTAGACAAACTATAGCGAATGTTTTTTTTTTGTCATTTTCGGACAACCACCGATTCTACCTGCTTACCCATGTCCCAATACTGGTCCCAATATTAGATCAAACAGCGGTCACCCCTATACGATAGAAGCATCGAAGCCATTTACGGCACCAAAGCGGCCTGTATATTTTATTTAGGTAAGAGTTCGCTTACTGATAAACGAAAAAACGGCAGAGTAAGAATGCTAAAGGTCAAATTTATCCAGGTCGAGGAATGAAACAAAATGACCTCTATTTCGTTTCAATTACTAGTCTTGTGCTCAGTATCGCGATATAACGACCTACACAACTTCATCAAACTTAAAAAATTGTTCCATCTGCGGACAGCAATAACAGAAGCGGTTACAGAAGTTGTCTGTCATCTTATTGAGCATTTTAGGTATGTAAATTGTCAACCAATCTAAAAAGTCAAAGACCAAGTGATGTATCCAAACAATGACATCTACGCCACTGGCTTCGGTCGCTAAAGGGAAGGAGATTTTACAAGGCCATAGGAACTGTGTACCCAGCGCCGCCTGTCGACGAACGGAGAGTTACACAGACCGTGATGCGATAGCGCTTGATATCAGGTCGCGGCCATCGTTTCAGCATAGTTCATTGCGCTCAACGAATTTCTAATGGCCGCTGAAGCTCATCAGAAGTCCATTGGTGTCTAAAAACTGACAGTGCAAAAGTGCAGGGTCGGGAAAAGTCTTCTGACATTGTAAAAAAGTAGCGTGACAGTTTCAGAGTCTTTTTTGCGTGTTTTTAGTTTAAGTATTTTTAGTTAGTTTCATTTTATTCCCCTGATACTTCGACGCATGTAAACTAAAGGCCCTTAAAATGGCAAATGACTTTTACTTCACATGGTATATATACATACATACATATATAAATCTTCTTTTAAGGGAGACACTACCAGCTGCGTAGGTTTTAACAAGCCACAAAAATCGGCCTAATTCGTGTCTTCTGAAGTGTTGTTTTCAGTTGGAAAAACCCACAGACCTGAACTTTTTGTAGTATCGAAAGATAAGTAAAACAAGGGCTGTGGACCATACATTGCGGCCTACCAAGAGACTGGTCGTTTGACTAATAGAGGCAAATTATTAGCATCGAAACTAAAAAAGAAACGTACACAAAATATTTTGATGAATATCTTTAGTTTTAGCTTTGGAAACGAGAACTAATTCGCTTTACTAGTGCTGGCCGTAGTTTTTATGAAAATGTGACAACCTGGTCCGCTAAATCTGGACATATGGCGAGGATTTTGCGCTTACCTTGAATTTTCTTTGCTACTTCTAGAATAATGACGGCTTGTTGGAAATGACGGACAAAGAGTGATCAAATGCTGAATGGATATATATGACCTGATCGACCCATTTAATGCTGGGCAGCATTACTGTAGCGGCCTTCAATACGACTAAAGAATAGTTTTTCTTTATTCGGGCTTAGACATGGTATCGAATTCAAGTATATCGTACTCAACTAGAAGACGAAGCTACTCCAAATAAAACAATTCTCGATGACGACCACCGTTCCGTACATGTGCTCGTACATTGAAATTAACGGAAACGTCTGCGGCTTATACGCTTACTTCACGCTTTTTGAGCAACTGGTTTGGCTGTGAATCTTCTGATTTTTTATTCTTTCGGAAAAAGTTAGCGTCAAGCAAAAGGCCTTTGAGAAAAGTCTACTCGAGAAGGCGTTTCTTTTTCTAAATTATCAACGTGTATGTTCTTTACTGCCGACGCACTTCCCGAGACTTCTGGGAAGTGCATTGGCGGAAGTGATTTAGGTTGTCATTATGAATATAACAACATAGCTTAGCTCGTTCTACCACGGTGTAAGGGACCCATTCTATATCATTAAGCTTCTACCGTAAAAAGGTCCCGTCCATTTGAGGTAGCTGAAAACAATAAAAAATTGAGTAACTGCAGATAATTTTTTTATAATCTTAACTGCTGCCAAATGAATAGGTCGACCAATAGTGATCTCTCTGTTGCTTTTGTACGCACTGAATTCTACACAGAGTCGCCGAGAGTCACGAGGCTGATGGACGAGTTTGGCCAAGAAAGTGTCATTGTGAGAGAACCATCATGTAGATGAAACTTAGCGCTTACAGAAAAATGCAGTGATCTTTGATGTGATCACGGCAAATCTACTAGTTTATTGAGTACTTATTGAGAAAACGATATCCTTGAACGATCATGAAATTGTTTGGTTAATGTTCTTTCTAAGGCCTATATTATCAAACGTGTATGCACTAGACTATCTGCCAAAGTAAAATATTAATATTTTAATAATATCTCAAAGAAAAATGTGCTAGTACGAATATAAGCCATACACCCCAAGGTTCCTAAAGCGACACATGGCTGGAGTCTTTATCTCACTCTTCTACGGTTAGCTTATTTGAAGATCAATGGGTCCAACAGCTTTCAACGACATGTTTCTCTTTTACGATAGATGAAATATCTACGAGAGAAACATTTTGTCAACAGATTACTAGACCGAGACACCTGCCACGTACAGCGCGTTCATATCTCATAAGTAAACATGAAGATACGAGTGACCGTCCTGACGCGCATCCGCCCACAATTCATCACGGTTAGAGATATATCTACTACAAAAATCAGCTAGAGGCCTGGCTGTTGCTTGAGCATTATTATTTCTATTACTTCAAATATATATATACAAACCACAGAAGAAGCGCATCGCCTTCTTGAATTGATTCATCGACTACGTGTAACCACACACCTAAGAATATAAGTCGGTAAACTTAAACGTTCGATTCAAGCGGAAAATGAAGCAATGTATTGTACAATAATTACTCTGCAATTATATCTGCATTGCTTTCGCGTGCTACTGACAACTTCATTACGGTATATTCAAATAACTCTTCATGTGTACGCTATGATGTACGTATAAATAAACATACGGATGGCGGCCATAAAACACGTAAAAGATTGCCCTAATCTTGCCATCGTCACCTGTGTACACCCGCTGCACGTGCCCGGCCTCATTGACAAAGCCGGCGCCGTTCGTTTCCGGTGCGTTGGTTCACTGGGGTATTCGAAAATGTCATTGTCTGGTTCTATTTGCCCCATTTAACTTTTTCTGTCTGCCGGGCAACTACGCTCTTCTAATGCGTTCTTATAGTTACAATATTTACGACAGTTCTGAGCGACGGGATCGACGAGCCACCTTGATCAAGTCGTCTTTCCCCGTGTTACTACGCAGAGACACCGGTCGAATAAGTCATTGTATTTTTTACACTTGTGCTTGGGACCAATAGACCAACCGCCGGTGCCTGTCAATCGAGTGATTTAAGCAAATATGTCCTGCTCTACAAATAGCACGTCGTATATTGAAAAAATTGAGAAGTTATTTATAACAGTAATGACAGGCAAAAAAACGTGGGCGGAACAAATAAATAGCATAATGGAAATCAGTATCTGTTCTTTTGTTAGACGTATAAAAAAAGCTGGTTATAGCTAAGTATTTTTGTCGGCTGTAGTCTGGAAGTGTTTCTATTGCGACAAAAGTTGGTTTACATTTATATTTTTAGGGTACTTTGTTGTTGTACTAAGTTGGTGTTTTTTGCCGTGTTACAGGTTCACTCGTGTGAAGAATTGTATAAGGAGTGGAAACATACAAAACCTGGCTGGGAGAACGTGAGCGCCAACGGATTCACACTAGAGGTAGAGTCGAACAGATGATAGATTTAAAGTACAAAAAAAAAGCGTACGACCGTCGACAATACGAGGATTCGCGATCCACATCTGCTTCTTGTTCGATGCTTTTGGATAATTTGTCACGTATGTCCAATATACAGGAAATCTCCACTTACGGTCTTGATTACGGGAAAGTAATCCGCGTCTTACGGGTTGCGACCTCTGAGTCACTACCTTTCTATAACTAGATGTTCTAAACCAAAAAGGTCAACGTAATTAACCCGAGTCACATTTGGTGACGCACGAATTGCTTTCAAGTTAAATGCATTAATGGATGCGTTCAATAGGCACTCGTGCAAAACAGTGTCCCTAAACAAATAAGCAACGACTCCAGGGCAATGACTAGGGGGCCTTGAAGTAAATTTATAGCCATAAACAGCCACAGACAGCTAATTTAGTAATCATTATAGCTCTCATTCTGACCTTCTACGCCATGCTAGGTTCCCTTCATTCACACGGGTCTCGATCGCGGACGTCAAGGCGGACCTAATGTCGTCGCTCTTCACGGAGCTCCTGGCTCCCATCGTGATTTTGACATGTTGATTCCAGCACTCGACCATGTTGGAGCCAATGTCATTGTCCCGACCTTCCCAGGTATAATATTGTAGGTCGACTAATCTGACTATCACTACGAGGTCTCTAGCGTGTTCAAAGCCTAAAATGAAGAGCCTATATCATTATGTCATCATATCAAGCGTCACTAGTAATTACTACGTTTTTTCGTAACAATACGCGTTACAATTACTACTGTTATCTTACTTTAATTGAAAATTACAGACTTGCACTATTCCATGAAAACACAGAATTACTGGCACAGTCTTGAGGAGAAGACGGATCTACTCAAAAGCTACCTAGAAGCAATCGACGTCAAAGAGGTAAACAACTTGCTTGTAAACGTCCAGGCTGTGCTTGTTGATCCCAAGGAGAATGCTTCGACGAAAGTGCAAGGGATACGTTTTAACGTAGCGTGTCGTAGGTATTGGCTGAATGGAATTTGAAGCCTCGAATACTTCAAAACTGCTATAACTACATGGCCAACTTTCCAATGTTCTAGGTCGACATTCTGCTATGTCATTCGTCGGCGATGTATTCAGCCATTCAGGTGGCCCTCAACTCTAACATTACGGTCAACTCTATGGTCTTCTTTGCTCCGGCAGGCTGCAGACAGCTTACGTGAGTAATAAATCTCTCTAGAAGTAGACAATTCTATGGAGAAAAAAAGTAAAGACAAAAGAAACATAATAGGTTGTTTATAGTTGCGTGCATAAGATATAATGTAGTAACATTATCGACAATAACAATTGTTCTGCTTTGGTATCATGTATTCACAGTCAGTTAAGTCCCCTTTCATTGTTCCACTGGTACAATCGAAATTTTCGCCGGCCTTGGGCTCAGAAGCCAATGATGGGTTTTGCAGTTGCAATTATCGCCGCATACTCGAAGCCTTCAACCGATACAGTTGGAACTGTGACGTCCATGATGACCATGATTCAAAGCAGATACGACGACGCCGAGCCTTGGTGTCGTCAGCTCCATCAGCGGGGTGTGTAGACGTGTCCGACAATAATAGTAGCACACGAAAAAGAATAGTTCCTCGTAATAAATTGTGAATAGCAGTCAGATTTCTTGTCATAAGCACTAGGACAATCTCGGTTATAAGGGATCCTGTTAACAGTTGATCTGTTATCTATGCACTCGTGTCTCTTAGGCGTCCCCACGCTACTTCTCTATGGTAAACGTGACAAGCTGATAGACGTGGCGATCTCGGAGGAGATGGCCGGTTACCTCGGCAATCCACACAAGGATACGTATTACTTGTACTCGGGCAAAGACGACACCGAAGCTATTATGACCAGACAGGTAGGAACAACTAACCGTGTACCTATTGTTCAATGTGTAATTCTTCTCTAACTTATTCTGGACTATTGTCGTAGATAGTTAGCATAATAACGAACATTGTTAAATTGCAGGGATATGAGGCCCACCAAAAATTTAATTAAATGGTTATACCATGCCTTTGTCCAATTTCACCTGTTCAAGGGACGAGTTTCTTTGTCAGATTAACACTGTGAACAATAGATATATCTCGCTGTATGTTTGCTTGGTAAAAACATTTTCGAAACAGATTCACGGTTATCAATACTTAATCTTAAAGAAAATAGATAAAGTGAAAGAACAATTACATACTGGTGTCGTTCAGCTTCAGGTCTGTTCGCTGAATATTCCGCTAGGCATGTGTACTTCTGTCAGATTTACCTTTTCGTATGGCCAGCATTACTTGCATGGTTGCGTGCAATGCTGTGTTAAAAAAAAAAAATATCGATAACACGTTTTACAACAAAGTAGCTTAATATAGTAGTATCAAACTCTGCTAACGCCGCTGTTACGTATCTCATTTACAGGGCGTTTCAAACTATAAGCTTCCCGAGGTGGTTTGTTTCGAACATGGATCACACTTCGCCTTCCGGAAGTTTCCCGAAACTTACAATTTTCATGTGGCCAATTTCTTACAGAGACATATCCGCGAGACGCTCAATAAGTGAGCATGGTAAATATACTGTGTCCTGTAAGATTTTGCGACGTATGGCCTAGCGATCAGCCGGCAGCTTTCTTTCGTATTGGTCAAGCTATCAGCATGGAATCGATGACGCCTCAGTTTTATTCACATAGACGATGCACGCCAATTTTCGTTTCCTCGCGGTTCTCTAGGTGAAGTGTATTAATTGTTGCAGTGAATCACTAGTAAACTTTTCATTAGCGAACAGAATGGAACTGAAGAATTATAAATGCCCTATATACAGGCATATTTGACGCTTAAGATGGAGGCGCAACGTAAACGTGTTTTCGGTAGTAAATGCATAGATGTTAATCCCTGTGGGTGTACGAGCGCTCCGGTACGAGTGGGTTACCACGCAAGGTACAGATGATGAAAAAGAAGGGTGATGATGACAATTTTGGGCATGAGGCAGAGAAAAAAAGACGCAAGTTCTACAGTAGTTGGTTGGTTGGTTGGTTGGTGGCGAATGGTCGGAAATAAACAAATCAATTGTTTGTTCACCTGCGAAGATTTCTCTAGTTCAAAATGTATTCCACTTCTCGAATGGATATGATAATGTAATTGTCCTTCTTTCTACTTTAATCTGTGCTGGATTTACTGAACGATCTCCGGAGTAGTCTAGAAACACCTGACTGTACGTTAGTCAAATCGGCAAACTAATTGTGATAAAAAGGGTCTATTCGATTTGGTCCTAATCGAAAAATCATATGGTTACCATACGAGTAGACAGCCGACCGAAATTTCCTGCAATCGTTTAGCTGCCCATACGTAACCTACAACTGTGAAATACATAATTATTATAGAAATGATATATACAACACCCAAATACTCTGCTTTTAGTATCTGCCCTCATTGTGGTGTAGTATTACTGCAATGTACACAATCTTAACGTTCTATAAAAATCACCATCTATTTTGGCGGTACCTATAAAACAAAAAACACACGGCTATATTATTCTATAGCATAGTAGGTAATCATTTAGGAGTACAAATAATAAGCATAAAGAGTCCAGTCCATTTTCCGACACCCACTGGCTACTTGTCGCGTGGCATTACATTATCACGTCTATTCGAATGTATTCAAGTATAAAAATGTCACCGAGGCGCCAGTGGGGGTATTTGATAAACCTGGATGAGCGATAAAAACCCGAGTGTTTCAAAATAAAACGGAATGAGGAAAAGGCCGCTGTTTCTCTGCGACCTGTGTGATACTATTATCCCGTATATGCTGTAAGGCAGCCATTTAATAAATACACACAATGATAATCATTAAATGGCGTCTATCTATCGATGACGACCTATCGATCTAACGATGAGAACAACTGTCACCTGGCAACGTTTGCTATTTTCTGTTGATATGTTATATATCAAATAGAGATATTTTATTAGCTTTAGTGTGTTGTCCATTTATATATGGTTGCTGATTGTGCGTCTCTCTAACCGGTGAATACCAAAGGGCCTTTTTTCGATTCGTCTATGTTTCTTTCGACGTCGGCGATAAACCAACACGATCCACGTTAATCTATCAGATATGAACCGATAACCTATGAACTCCATTGTGGACGAGCAAAAATCATTCTACCTTACTTATATCCTTCTAATCGTAACAAATGATCCTGCTATTGGTAAAATCGTGGTTGACAACGTCAATATTTACAGACCTTGGGCTATCTAGCGAACTGTCAATGGAGTCACTTTTGTGTCGTACTTTCATATTGCCCGTATGGAATAATACGTCAGGGGCACAATGTCACCCGTGATTTAACATGGTATGTTAGTATAATCTCTTCAAATATTTAGTAAGGCTTGCGTTTGTACCACATAAATATTTGCTTGACACAGCAGTCAGTAATGTTTATTGGGTTGTTGTGCTTGGGTCAGTTTCGTCTTCATAGTTTTCAGATACGGTTGTCAGACATTTGCACCGAGGGGTTACCTACCGAGAAGTTAGGGCCAGTCACGTAGCAAGGTTCTTCATAGTATCCTCTGTAAAGCATTAACATTCCTGAAAACTATCCGAAACATGGAAGCTTTTTGTATTTCCTGTTTCGAATTTCGCGGAATTTCGTTTGTATGGGTTTTGCAATACTAAATACTTTTCACATATCCCGAGTTCGTCACAGCGACACTAGCGGCAGAAGCCTACTTCGTTTATATTCGTTCCTAGCGAATCGTAACCTTATAGCATATTTCAAATGAATTTTATGGGATCGGTATCATTCGGTTTCTACCGGGTTGTGCTCTTAGTAATGTCGAGTTGTCAACCTAACAAAGGACTCAGTGTTTCATTTAAATACTAGAACAGGCTCCCACTCAAGGCTTTGTAGTATGGTTTTAACAAAATTTGCCGTGTGTGGCCTGGTACCGTCGTAGAGAAGGGATATTTTTTCATATTATTAACCCCGGATTGCTTCGACAGCTTCCTGTCGAAGGTACCGAAAGTGCGCGTTTTCTCTACCAAACATCAACTCTGTTTGAAGCTTGAACACAAACTGAAATCACAGCACAATGAAAGTACAACAAACTCCCGGAAGAGACATGGTTTTCGAATTGTATATTAAGTCAACGATAAGTAGTAAAGAAGAATGCAGATATTAAGTAATTTGCCACAACTTGTGGTCCAATTTAGAAACCTATATCTACCTATTATAAGTGCATATCATCTATTCGAACTTGTCTAAGTGAACCTGAAAATTGTTGTAGTATAGCTAACAGACGCTTTTTTGATTTTCCAGAATATGTGCCCAGCTAGAAATACGTTACGTGTCAGCAACGCGTGTTTACAAACTAGTTAGGTTCTCTCCGATATGTACGGTGGTGTGGTAAACGTGTTTATGTCTATGGTGTATGCGGTTTTCGTATTGTACTAATGTGCTTCAATATGTTTTTTATGAAAGGGTTTTTTTGGTATGTTTTATGATTGTACGTAGTGCCTTTTGTGCCTAACCATAAATGAATGAGCTTTGTTGCTAAGTTGGAGCTGTCGCGCTCGGAATCAAGATTTTCCAAAAATTGTAACGATATCAAACTTACATTTGTGTGCTTCGTTCTTTTCAAACATAAATCCATGGTAGGCACCTCATTTGGTATGGTTGACGTTCTGAAATTTTGAACACTTCACGCAGGTAATCGACAAGTCCGCCGTAGTCAACAAACGTCGTCGTACTGTATCTTTACATAGTATAACGCCTGGAACTAAGAGATCTTGATATCACTTCAACTTTTGCCCAAGTTCTGGCAAACCAGATATCGACGGCTTGTCGGAAGAACGCGCACAGTATTTATTCATTTCCAGTAATTTAGGCATAGTATATGTAATTAACACTAATCTGATCTCTGTTGCATTGCCCAAATTTGACCCATTTATGCCGATTGTGTCCTCATACTCAAAAACCTACTCGTTCTATCCGGGTTACAGAAGAACGCCGCAATTTTGGCCTAAAAACGGATCCTATCCAGATTTGGCGTTATCTCAGCGGCCTATTTACTTGCTATGGCCCTTATTTACCCTGACAAATCAAGTGTGGGATGGTATTTTATATCACTGTGATTCTCTTATCTTCTTTGACATTTGATTTTTTAACTGTTTTTATAACTTGTTTCCGGAATACCTCCTATACCTTCTTTGAGTTAGCCAAAACTCCGGTCGAGACTATTTCGAATTCGTTTAAATTCCATCTTCCCTGTCAGTTATCATGATTTTATATTCGAATAAATACTACTGAATACTTTTGGTATCCCAGTCATGTGGAAAGCGTATTTAGTTATACATATATATATACATGTGTATGTGTGTGTGTGTAAATTAACACTGGTTCGCTGGTATTGAATAACAATCGTTAGAATATCATGGAGTACCTGCTTTGAAAAAATGTTTAATATTTCTCTGAAATAGCATTCACATAGTCTAAGCTTAGGCTTATGATAGTGAAAGTTATATTGGATAGTTAATGGGCTCGCAAATAACTTTTAGAGGCCTGCTGGACAAGAAGTCATCAGTTTTTGTCAGAAATTCTAAGGTGCCGCGTTAAATACGGTTCTTGCCGTAGCGTACGATATTGATGTGGACGCAACAGAGAATCTGAAATGGCCTATTTACGCGAATTTCAAATTGTTTTTAACCCGAACCACCGGCGTGTTCCATTCATGTTATTATTGTGGCTTTTAAAGTATATATTACTTTATTATTTATTAGAGAGTGCTACAGACTTTTTCTCGGAGTTCACCTCTGCAATAGTCAAGCCTGACGCCGGTACAATCCAAAACGCAAAAATATCAACATTTTCGACACAGAGCAGGTGGAGCAGAAAACAAGTCCTAAGAATGGACATTTAATCGTGGCACAGTCATTCATGTCTTTCGTGGAAGTCTTCGATACATCAGCTAATGCGTTTTAATATACGATTTATTTATTAACGATGCATCTAGAGAGACAGATCAGATTAAACAGATAGACTCAAACACACAGATAGACACAGACAAACAGACAGACACAGAAACACAGATAGATAGACACGGAAAGACAGACAAACAGACAGAGAGACAGACACAGACACACAGATAGACAGACACGGAAAGACAGACAAACAGACAGAGAGACAGACACAGACACACAGATAGACAGACACGGAAAGACAGACAGACACAGACAGATCAAATCTGAGAGATTAGGCAACTCAGATCAGATCAGACAGATAGACAAACACAGACAGACAGACACAGACAAATCAGATTAGGTCAGTTAAATCAGATCAGACAGACAGATCATACCAGACAGATTAGATCAGATCAGGCAGATCAGATCATACAGATCAGATTATACAGACACAAACGGACAGACAGATTGGATCAGATCTGACAGGCACAAACAGACAGATCAGATCAGGCAGATCAGATCAGATCAAACAGATCAGATCAGACAGACAGACAGATAGATCGGACCAGATAGATTAGATCAGATCAGACCGAACAAGTCAGATCAGGCAGATCAGATTAGACAAATCAGATCAGATAAATCAGATAAGGTCAGACAGACCAGCTTAGGTCAGACAAAATAGATCAGATCAGACAAACACAGACGGAGACAGACATAGGCAGACACGGACAGACAGACACAAACAGACGGACAGACACAGACAGATCAGATAAACACAAACAGATAGATAGACACAGACAGACTGACACAAAGAGACAGGCAGACACGGACAGACAGACAGACACAGACAGACAGATCAGATCTGACACAGACAGACAGACACAGGTAGACAGATCACATCAAACAGATCAGACAGATCAGGTAAATCAGATAAAGTCAGACAAATCAAATCAGACAAATTAGATAAGGTCAGACAAATCAGATCAGAACTAACACAGATAGACAGATCAAGTAAGTCAGATAAGGTCAGAGAAATCAGATCAGACAAATTAGATAAAGTCAGATCATGTTAGACAAAACAGATCAGATCGGACAAACACAGACAGATCAGATCAGACAAACACACAGACAGATCAGATCAGACAGGCAGACATAGACAGACACAAACAGACAGACAGACAGACACAGATAGACACGGATAGACAGACAGACAGACACAGATAGACACGGACGGACAGACAGACAGAGAGACAGACACAAAAAGACAGGCAGATACGGAAAGACAGACAGACACAGATAGACACGGACAGACAGAGAGACAGACACAAAAAGACAGGCAGATACGGAAAGACAGACAGACACAAATAGATCAGATCAGAGCAGACAAATCAGATCAGACAGGTCTGACAAATCAGGTCAGACAGACAGATAGACAGACAGATCAGATCATATCAGGCAGATTAGATCAGATCGGGCAGATAATCAGAATAATTAGATTAGATCAGACAGCTCCAATCAGACAGACAGACAGATCAGATCAGACAGGCACAGAGAGACAGATCAGATCATATCAGACAGATTAGATCAGACAGACAGACAGATAGATTAGATCAGATCAGACCAGACAAATCAGGTAGACCAGATCAAGCAAATCAGATAAGGTCAGACAAACCAGCTCAGGTCAGACAAAATAGATCAGGTCAGACAAACACAGGACACAGGCAGACACAGACAGACGGGCAGATACAAACAGACTGATACAGACACGGACAGACACAGATAAACACAGACAGGTAAGATAAACAAACAGACAGACGGACACAGGCAGATACAGACAGATAGACAGACACAGACAGACTGACACAAAGAGACAGGCAGACATGGACAGACAGACATACACAGACAGACAGATCAGACAAATTAGATAAGGTCAGACAAATTAGATAAGGTCAGACAAATTAGCTGTCTGTGTCTGTCTGCCTGTCGGTCTGATCTGATCTGATCTGATCTGCCTGATCTGATTTGATTTGTTTGATCTGATCTGATTTATTTGATCTGATCTGATCTAATCTATTTGATCAGATCAGACAGGCAGACACAGACAGATCAGATCAGACAGGCAAACACAGACAGATCAGATCAGACACACACAGACAGACAGGCAGATCAGACAGACACAGACAGACTGACACAAGGAAACAGACAGACAGACAGAAATAGACAGACAGACAGACAGACTGACAGATCAGATCAAACACAGACAGGCAGACACAGACAAGCAGACGCAGATAGACAGACAGACATAGACTGACAGATCAGATTAAACAGATCGGATCAGATAGATTAGATTAGATCAGATCAAATAAATCAAATCAGATCAAACAAATCAAATCAGATCAGGCAGATCAGATCAGATCAGACAAATCAGATCAGATCAGACAGACAGGCAGACAGACACAGACAGGCATAAACAGACGGACAGACACA